GAACTAAACCTCTTTTGCAAGGGTGGCCTGGGCTAACTGAGGTCCCCGCAGCGTTGGAGCGTAATTATCGTAATGGAGATGACTTGAGCCTAATATGAGCTATCGGTGATGGTCACTGGCTCGAATAAGGTCGTGAGTTACAATGCTCATGGGGGATTGGCTTAGCCCATCATGCCACCGGGGTTGCTAAAACGAGTACCCCTTTGTGAGAAATTCAACAGCTGTTGTCCTAAGGAGTCTCAACCACCGATTCAGGAGACGATTGAGTCGGAAATCACGAAGTCTTTTTTGACTCTGCACGTACGTTACTCTGGGTCTTATGCTGTTGAGTTTCAGTGAAAGCATCAAAGCTTCTAAAATTCGAGGAAATACCTCCCCTGCCACTGAGAATGGCAGCCTTGTTTTTGTCAGTTGTAATCGTTCTCTTTTCTGAGGCATGGCCTCCGTGTGATTGTGCTCGCGCGAGCGTGGCGCAGCGGTTCGGTTTCCGCTCTGGGCCACCTCCGATTAGCACGGTTGGCTCTGTACGGTGCGAAAGGAGTTCAACCTACGTATGTGCGTAGCAGGGAAAGTGGGAAGCTGCACTTCTGAGCGTGTGCATAGGAACAATCGCTCGAAGGAATCTCAGATGCAGTTCTATGACATCTCCTTCTGCGGACCATTCTCAACCACTTTGTGATGTGAGAGTTATTTTTCCATACTTGATTCCGACACCACAATCACAGTAAAATTGCAAAATAGAAAGTAAACAAAAATACCATGGACGCCCTTGGAAGCAAGATGTTCCATCGCAAGAGATTATCCAAGTTAAATATTTTGCTAAATGAATAATTATGAAAATGACAATCTCAAAAAAAAGCATCACAAAAACATACCGACACAAATGCACCATTGTCTTCGTTTATTTCCTTCTACATGAAGGGGTCTCACAAACCAAGGCAGAGAAGTGCAGCCAGAGTCAGAGTGCCGATCCCTTGCTGGCCGGGAGCTCTCAAGATGGAAGTGGGCAGCGTGGAGACTGCGGGCAGACGTGGCTGGCCGGGGTCGTCACGGCACGCACCGCGTGGTCACCCTGCACCGGGGGCGAGCGAGGCGCGTGTCCGCTCTGGAGAAATGTAATCTCGCGTTAAATAACCCAGCGGCCAAAATAAGAGCGCTTTTTTTTCTTTTCTTACGGAGCTATTTTCCTCATTGTGCACTACAGTACAGTGCATTGATTTCAGATGCTTTCCAATGTGGCTCCGGCTGGTGAAACCCGCATCTCTGTGCCCGTGCGATCGTTGTGCATGTGCCCACGTTTAGCGTGCGTGTTGAGAGAGCGGTCGCGTAGCTGCGCTACAAACCCAGCGACCTGAGTTCGATTTTCGCTCACGACCACCAACACCAGTGACGGTTATCTGAACTGGTCCTGGGCCTCCCCTTGGTCGACTCAGCCTCAAATTAGTATCTGGTGTGTTAACACCGCCACTGGAGAGACAAAGGCGGCCAGGAGCAGTGCTGGACACCCACCCCCACGTGTTCTTTGCCGGCCTACATAGGTGCTGGCTAACAGCACCTGCCCTAAAAGTCTGTTCAGGCTACACGGGGGGTCTTTGTTTTTGTTGAGAGACGTGGCAGAAGGTGTTTGAATAACACAGCAGAACTCATCTCCATGAGCAGCCCTAATCCAACGGTGGAGACTCCACATCCCCGGTGCAGGGACCAGTCTACCTATAACTGATAACTTCGCACAAATTGGCCCTCATTTTATATTGAGAAGGAGGAGTGATGGGAAGAGTCCACGTTCAACGGGCATTTGAACGCTTGGCACCGATTGCGAGTTGATTGCTCTGCTGGCATTGCCACATTTGACCAGATTCGTCAGTGCCTAAATGTAACTGCTTATGAGTTTAGCGCTGTAGAAATGCAAGGAAGAAATAACCGTGTTGCTGTCGTGTTGTTGTGCCGCTTTGCTAAGGCTCTGCGGCCTTGATTGGTGGTTTTGATGGGGTCGTTGTCGGGGCTGTATCTGGCTCCAGAAATTTAATCTGGTGCCGCTACCGTAGCGTGTCACACCACGTGGCATAAACAGAAATTAATCGCTCATCTGAGACTTTCACTTTCTTTCAATGAAGCGTTCTATTGCATTAATTTGTAAGTTTTGTGTTTGTATCTTTTTCAAATTAGTTGAACAGAATAGTTTATTTTCTGCATATGTTTTAATTGTGTCAGTGAAGTAAAACAGCACGTTATGTTCCCAAAGCAACTTCACTTACTGCGTGGGGCATTGGACACTCCATGTTCCCCAAGAAGTGGTCCCATAAAAGGGAAGACACAACAGCCTCGGCTTTAAAATTAGCACGCACACACAGGATATTTTCTGACACCGCGGCTAAAGAGTATAAATGTCCATCTCAGGGGCGTGTTGGGGGCTGCGAGGTCGCGCTCAGAGTTAGTGACTCTGGGCCAAGGTGGCCCATCAATAACGTCCCTTTAAAGCGTGGGAAGCGCCGCGATGGTCGCGTTGACTCGGCCGCAGCAGCAGCAGCAGCAGTGTCTGCAGCTGCCGCTGCTGCTGCTGCGCTCCGTGCGAGGAGGCGCGAGCCCCAGAGCGAGCCGGTCCTCGGGGCCGGGCTGGGGGATTTGTGCCGCCCGCGGAGGAGACACGTGGAAGTCGCGTTTGTCACGCGCACCGCTGACATCCTGGTTCAAATCTGGGCAGCCGCATTATTGTCATTCAAACCGGGCTCTTGAGTTGAGCGATTTGATGGCTTGAGCCTGCTCTTCAGTAAATGGTTTTCACTTTGTTCAGCGTGCTGGCTTTTTAAGAAAAAAACACAGTTGCCGTCCGCTAGCCCACAGCCCAAAGTGTCATAATAAGACGTGGCCACAATAGAGAGCGCGAAGTGAATTGTCCGTGAAATACATGCGTGATAAAATCCTTATTTTTTCACGAGCCATTTAAAGAAACGTATTAAATAATTGTAATTTTTAATAGTGTGATGGGCTTATTTAACATGGGAAAAACTAGCTTAAGTAACAAAATACAGACTTTGCCCTTCAATCCACATCTTGCACGTTGCATATTTCACGTCTAACTCGGGCCTGCGTGGGAGCACCATGTTGACTGTACGACAATAAACGTTGCTCCCAACGTGAGGTCTGCTCAAAGAATTCACCGAGTGAAAGGTCTTTTTAAGGCCTTTAAGGGAGAACTGCGGCGCCCATAAAATCAAAACGGAGATGGAGAAATGTCTCCACAGGAAAGGGGGCCTGCCCTGAGCGGAGCAGCTGTGTATGGGCCCGAGAGCTGCGGCTTAATTGGGCCCTCTGATCAGGGCTCGTAAAAATCTGCGGAAGCACCAACTTCCTTTGTGAAGTTCATTTTAATTTCAAGAGCAAGAAGCATTTCTCCTTCTGCAAATTCATGCACGTGTTTTTGAACGTTTTTCTTGTTATGGTTTTTTTGTTGTTGCACAAACTTACCTCAACCAAGATGGGAAATTAATGACATTCGCTTGCACAAAAGGTCAGCCTGGATGATTCTGAAGGCCCGGTACAAAGCAGCGATCCCATCTTGGGCTGCTCCCTGACCCCAGCTGACCCTGGCTCTCAACGCAAGCCTCTTGTCTGCTTTATAGTGGCTGCTAAGGCCCTGTAAAAAAAACCTGGGTTGGAATCTCGCTTCACCGCGCACTCAGACTGCCCATTGGCACGCATCGATCGTTTCAAAACACTGCCCACGTGTCCCGCATGACTTACAATGATCGTGTGACTCCACGATGCAAACATTAGCAATTGCAACATTGCATTACATAACACGAGCGCAGGAAGTTGGACACTTGGTGCTCTGTGTACCAGAAAACACATTTTGGGGGTGAACAGCACAGCACTCGGCTCGGGTGTCAGAGGGCTTATCCAGCGCCGCGGACGTCCTGGGTTCCACTCTGGGTGGCCACGAGTGTCGCCACCTGCCCTGGATTTCCCAGGACGTCCTCTTTTCGAGGTAGCTGTCCCAGGAAATCTGTCAGTCGTCTTCCCCGGGACGCCGATTGGCATCGGCCGCCACGAGAGCCGGGCTTGGTGCGAGCACTACAGCCCTGCGCTTTCTTTTTGTTGTCGATTGAGTAATTTCACAGCACTCAAGAAGATGACGCGTTCGCATGAAGTTCTCCCCCGCTTGCTGCTACCGCGAGATATGTCCTGGTTGCTTTGTCACCTCGGGGATGGTAACCCTGAGTAGTCAACCGTGTTTGAGCCGCATTCTCACGTGGAGCGAGTTGGTGGTCTGGGCCTGTTCACGCTTGGGCGTGTTCGCCTGAGCTGCTTTGCCTCGAGCACAACGTTTGAGTGTCTACACTGCGTATGCTGTGTGCACGCCACTTGTTGTGGTCGTGTTTACGCACGCAACGCGTGGTCTAAATGTTTTGCGGAGGGATTATAAAAAGAAGCGTGTGCAGATTTAGATATATAAAATGTTCAGTAATTAGTATTCATTTATACATTGTGCTTTTCATGTTTTATTTAGCCTCTCTAAACATTTCCAGTTGCGGTGTACTTAAACTAGTTCTTCCCATGATGCATAACTGCAGGCACTGAACTGTGTGTGGTAGCAGCGGTGTTTTCAATCCATATTCCTTTTGTGCCCGTTAGGCATGGAACGATGCATCGGGTCATCGGTTCAAACCGATTATTTACCTCTCACGATACACGCATTGAATCATGCGTGCATGACAATTGATAATTGACAATTTATGCAAAGGACAGACTCACGATTTTGGCTGATGGAACGAACAATGATGTCCGAACAGGACAAAAATATGAAAAAAATGGGATAAAAGGACAAATGAGACGACATTAAAACATTTATTCTCAGATCACGACTCGCGACCCAAAATCACCTTGCTTCGTCAATCGCCAGGCAAGCGAATCGATCGATCCCCAGGCCTAGTCCCCCGTGCCAGCGCACCCGGGGTTCGCGAGGCCTTGCCGCAACGCCGTCCCTCGTTTCGTTCCCACAGGGCTGCGGCGGAGGGCGGAGGGGAGGGGCCTCGTGCGGGGGGCGAGGGGGGCCGCGACACCCCCCGCACACTGCCCAAGATGGAGGACCGGCCGGAGGAGCGCCTCATCCGCGAGAAGCTGAAGGCCACGTGCATGCCGGCCTGGAAGCACGAGTGGCTGGAGCGACAGAACCGCAAGGGTCCCATGGTGAGGCTTCGCTCGGCACGCGGCTCGGCCTGGGACCCTCCCCGCGCTTACAACCCGAGACCGCCTCGCACCGGGCAGGGCGGCACTCGTGACTCACGGCAAGAAGCGTCTGGCTTCGATTCACGACTCGGGTGCCTTTCTGTCTGGAATTTGTACGGTCTCCCCCTTTTCTGCATGGGTGTCCTCCTGCCTACTCCCATAGTTAATATACACGTCAAGTGTAACTGTTATTGGTCAAACGTCCCAACGCTCAAAATGTTCCTGGAAATCACTCAATTGAGATTCCTCGCGGCAGCAGCAGCAGCAACAACCTCGCAGCCACTACTGGGAACACTCGGCAGAAGCGTCCTGAAAAAGAGTTTTGAGACTGAGTGAGGCTCTCCTGGGTAAACTCGCGTCGTGTTCACAGTCGTAGCGATAAACACACGTGGCCCGAGCCATGAGCGTACCCGACGATGCGCGTGCGTGCGTGTGCGCGTCGTCGCAGGTTGTGAAGCCGCTGCCCCTCAAGCTGGACGTGGGCGAGGACGAGCGGGCCCTGTCGGAGGCGGTGGGCGAGACGGCGCGCACGTCGCCCCGCGCGGCCGCGCGGAGGCCCCGCAGCCCCTCCCAGCTGGGGGGCGGCGCGGGGGCCCCCGGGGACATGTCGCCACCGGGGACCCTGCCCAGGATCTCGGCGCAGAAGCCCGGCTCCCCGGGCGAGCGGAGACGCAGGGCCTCCCCCACGCTGGTACGACCCGCGCCCACGGGAGGAGCCGTGGTCACGTTCGTTTCTACGATTTGTACAGTTTTGGGTGCTGAAGCATCCGTGAGACTTGGAATCGAGTTCCCGAGTCAAGCAGTGTGACAAGTTAAGGCCACTACCGATTTGAGACAAATTCTAGGAACCACCAAAAGTTCAGCAGTCACCGATCTGAAAGTGTGACTAGGAGAATAATGTGTCGGCTTGAGTGCTCTTTGAATTGAGCAGTCTCAGTGATTTGTACAGCCACGTGAAACGTCCCAGCACGCGTGATGGGCGTCGTAGACCCTGACCTTTTGAACTCCTCCGTCACCGGCTGCGCGGGCTCACAGAGGCTTCTCTCCGCAACGGCTTTGCGGCCCGGAACGGCTACACCTCTGTAATCCCGCTGTCCTATAATTTGACACCTTTTCCCTAAGAGACTTTTCATTTGTACTCGCCATGGCGAAATAGCACCACCTACGTCCAGCGCTCTATAATCTGACGCATATTTGGCAGGAGCGATACGGTCAGACAGTACCGCCGCGCATTCCTTTCTCACGGCAAAAAAATAAATGAAAATAAATTGCCTCTCGGCATTTTATTTGAAAACTGGCACGCAAATTCTTAATGTAATTGAGCAGTAAAAGGCTCAAGAGCCTACGATGTGGACGCCTCGGTATGCAGACGCTTTTAGGAAACACTAGGAAGTCAGCTCAGCCGAGCGTTTAAGCAGCTTTAATCTCTCAACTTTGTGCCAGTGGCTTAATGTACATTTTTTCAGGGCAGGCCTTGCTCAATCTGATCCAGGAGTCTCCTGTGCTGAGATTCCTGGATTGAATGAGAGGCTGCGTGCCCCGCGGTTAATGGCCGTGTCTGGGCGCACTTCTGTTGGGTTTGATAGACTTGGCCTGCTTGCCATTGGCTGTGGAACAAACCATTAAAAAGTGATGAAAATTAGATAACCCACAAGAGGTCATTGTCCAGAAAGTAGGATTTTGTTGAGAGCGTGTGGGTTAAGTGTCGAAACGATACAATGAATGTTTCATTGTTGATGGCTCAAAAAGAATATCAGAAGCATTCCGCTCTGGAAATGGGAAGAGCCTCCCCGCTCCGCGCACTTCACCGCCGCCCGGAGAGAGCGGCGGGAGACGAGCGAGCCTCGGGCCTCCCGCGTCCGGCGTTAACCCCTCGCGTGCGGCGCGGCCGCCCCCTCGCACCCCCCCCTCCCCCCGCAGGGCGGCCGCGTGACCCCGCCGCGCCGCGCGCCGTCGCCCGACGGCTGCTCGCCCTACAGCCCCGAGGAGACGCAGCGGCGCGTGAGCAAGGTGATGCGCGCCCGCCTCTACCTGCTGCAGCAGATCGGGCCCAACTCGTTCCTCATCGGGGGAGACTCGCCCGACAACAAGTTCCGCGTCTTCATCGGACCCCAGGTGCGTCGCCCCGCGGGGGGGCTGGGGTTGGGGGGGTTGTGGTGGAGGGGGGGGCTGTGGAGTGGTGGGGAGTCTTTAGAGTGAACTGAGGGATATGGGACAAGGAATAGAATCAATGGTAGGCCATATTAATTGTCTCCACAGGTATATGTGTAATGTGTTTTGCGTGTGCGCACGTGTGTGCGCACGTGTGTGCGTGTGTGTGTGTGTGCATGCGCGTGTGTGTGCGCGTGTGTGTGCGTTATCCTCCGTACGCTGCCCTCCCCTACAGACGTGCAGCTGTGGGCGCGGCACGTTCTGCATCCACGTCATGTTCGTCATGCTGCGCGTCTTCCAGAACGAGCCCAGCGACCCCATGCTGTGGAGGAAAACCCTCAAGAACTTCGAGGTGCCTCCCCGCTGCTAACGTGGTCCAACGCAAACAACTTCGCCGCAGGGTGGAAGAGAGAATATTTATTTATATATCTGGATTAAAGTTCTCACTATTTTATACGTTAAACAGAGTTGCGCATTCTTCCCCTGACCCTTCGCTTAGAGGATTTGGCTGCTGTAAATTTTCACGTGATGAGAAGACACTTGGTGATTTGTGGCCAGGTGGCTTCTGGAAAAGAGCTGCGTAGCTCAGTGGGGCCTTACCTGGTAAAATTTAAAAAAGTTTTAAACAGTTTAAACTTTGCAGAGAAACAACCGGACTTTCCAGGCACTTGATTAGAGCACGCTGGTCACCTAATGCCTCCCCTGCGGACGATTGTTGTTGTGCGTCGTTTTCACTTAAATTTGTGGTCTTTAAAAATATCGCTGCCAAGATGAACGACCGTCTGCTCAGCATCCTGAGCCGGCGTCGTTCGGGACGTTTGCCGCACGTGGTTCTTGTTACCCGCGCCGTGCTGAGCGAACTCTGAGGGTCGCGTCGTACCACTCGATAGCCGCGGGCAGCCAGACGGCGACAGAGCTCACGGCGTGAACCCATCCTCCCCGCCTCGTCCCCCCCGCCTCGTCCCCCCCCACGGGGCAGTGAGCGCCGAGCTTGACGCACGAGCGCAGCGGCCGTGTCAGGTGAGGCAGCGCGCGAGCGCTCGCGGCATCGACGCTGCGGGACAGCTGCCGCCGAGCCTGCCGTAACTGGGCTTGCGGACGGCATGGGCCAGTTTGTGCGAGTGTGCGAGTGTGTGAGTGTGCGTGCGCGTACGTGGCCTCAAATCGCACCTGGCATGGCACAGGCGCCGTGGTTTGTGGTTAGTGCACTGGGCTATGTTCCCGGTGGCCTGGATTAAATTTCCAAGCCATGGAAAACATCAGTGGCAAGCGGTATCTGAGCCTGTCTGTGGCCTCCTGTTGGTTGCCTCAGCCTTAAATCAATACCTGATGTGGAGTGTAAATATCAGCACTGGGAACTGGGAAGGCAGAAATGATCAAGCATCGTACTACCCAACACCCACACCCCTTTAGAGGGCTCCATGTCCGCCTTGATAGGTGCTCGCCGCTCAGCGCTGCGTGGCTGAACGAGGGATCTGTGCGCGTGTGGTCTCCAGGTGGAGAGTCTCTTCCAAAAGTACCACACAAAGAGGAGCTCGCGCATCAAGGCTCCGTCACGCAGCACCATCACCAAGTTCGTGTCGCGCCTCTCCAACTCGCACCTCCCGGCCGCACAGAGCACCGCTTCCAGCCACCCCGAGCAAAGGTAGCGCCCGCGACGCACCGCTCACACCACACCGCACACTCACGCTGCACCACCCCGCTCACACCACACCGCTCACACCACACCGCTCACACCACACCGCTCACACCACACCACACACTCACGCTGCACCACCCCGCTCACACCGCACCGCTCACACCGCACCACTCACGCCACACCACACACTCACGCCGCACCACACCGCTCACACCATACCACTCACATCGCACCACTCACGCTGCACCACACCGCTCACACCACACCGCTCACACCACACCGCACACTCACGCCGCACCACACCGCTCACGCCGCACCACACCGCTCACACCACACCGCTCACGCCACACCGCACACTCACGCTGCACCACACCGCTCACACCACACCGCTCACGCCACACCGCACACTCACGCTGCACCACACCGCTCACGCCGCCCCGCTGACGCTGCACCACATGCTTGTGCCGTGCCGCACGCTCATGCCAGACCGCTCTACACACTTGCACCGCCATTATTTTCCCGCGGGTGTCTGCACCGTGCAATGCGGAATGCTGCCGCTCCGAAGAGTCGTGCCACTGCCAATCGGTGGCCCGAGCCCTGCATCCCGTCGCCACATTCTTTCCCCACGTGGTTACGTCACGTGACCAAGTTACGTCACGTGACCACGTTACGTCACGCAAATTACGCTCCCATTACCGCATACCGTGAGACCAAAAAACAGTTCTGAGTTTCTGTGTGCAAGCACCACAGCGGTAGACACGGTGTGAGTAGGCGCCGCTGGCGCTGCGTCGACGCTGATGGTGCCGTGTGCGGCGGTGCCGTGTGCAGTGGCAAGGATGAGGAGGAGCAGGTGTGCCCCATCTGCCTGCTCGGCATGCTGGACGAGGAGAGCCTCACCGTGTGCGAGGACGGCTGCCGCAACAAGCTGCACCACCACTGCATGTCCATCTGTGAGTCCACCGTCTCCGCGTGCCCGTCTCTCTCTCTCTCTCTCTCCCGGTCGGTCCGGGCACGGCCGCACAAAGCCACGGAACCCGTCCTCTCTCGGCGTGTGTCTGGGGTGCAGTGCGAGGTCGATCCGGCCGTCCCAGTCACTCGGGATCTCCGTGCTTTTGTTCGATGAAGATGATGAGTTCTCAATTGAATAAAAGTGTCACTACAATTCGAGGGTCGTAGGGCGAGCGTAGGAATCTCGTGCTGGGCCGATTGTGGTGAGCTTCGTGGTGCTGATTGTGGTGAGCTTCGTGGCGCTGATTGTGGTGAGTCTCGTGGTGAGTCTCGTGGTGCTGATTGTGGTGAGTCTCGTGGTGCTGATTGTGGTGAGTCTCGTGGTGCTGATTGTGGTGCGCTTCGTGGTGCTGATTGTGGTGAGCTTCGTGGTGCTGATTGTGGTGAGTCTCGTGGCGCTGATTGTGGTGAGTCTTGTGGCGCTGATTGTGGTGAGCTTCGTGGTGCTGATTGTGGTGAGTCTCGTGGCGCTGATTGTGGTGCGCTTCGTGGTGCTGCTTGTGGTGAGCTTCGTGGTGCTGCTTGTGGTGAGCTTCGTGGTGCTGATTGTGGTGAGCTTCGTGGTGCTGATTGTGGTGAGCTTCGTGGTGCTGATTGTGGTGAGCTTCGTGGTGCTGATTGTGGTGCGCTTCGTGGTGCTGATTGTGGTGCGCTTCGTGGTGCTGATTGTGGTGCGTCTCGTGGTGCTGATTGTGGTGAGTCTCGTGGTGCTGATTGTGGTGAGCTTCGTGGTGCTGATTGTGGTGTGTCTCGTGGTGCTGATTGTGGTGTGTCTCGTGGTGCTGATTGTGGTGAGCTTCGTGGTGCTGATTGTGGTGTGTCTCGTGGTGCTGATTGTGGTGAGTCTCGTGGTGCTGATTGTGGTGAGCTTCGTGGTGCTGGTTGTGGTGAGCTTCGTGGTACTGATTGTGGTGAGTCTCGTGGCACCGTCTGTGTCTCTCGCAGGGGCCGAGGAGTGCCGCAGGAACCGCGAGGCGCTCATCTGCCCGCTGTGCCGAGCCAAGTGGAAGAGCAACGAGTTTCCCTGGTGGGTTACCAGCATCGTCGTCATCGCCGTAGTAACTCGTCGTCGTGGTAACTCGTCGCCTTAGTGGTGGCGAGGCGGGGACCGGGGAAGAATCCTCCCTGCCCCACACGGTGACGATGCCTCACTTCCGCTCTTGCGTGCAACTCCAAAGAGGGCCGGCAGCGGAGCTGCATGTGTGTGTGTCAGGTCTTCAGCTTGCGTGTTTGTTAAATTTCACTCAACTCTGACCGAGATTCCGCACAGCATTTACCCCCCCACCCCCACCGCCGACCCCGAGCGATATCGCGTTGACATCGCAGGCGCACGTCCCCTGCGCACGCAGAGAATGACGACGACGACGCCGCGTTCACGCCTTCGCTGCTCGTCACGTTTCATTCAACAATCCTCCATCGCTCCCTCGCCCACCCCCGCTTCGCTCGGATGACCAGTTACAAACACACAAGGTCCCATCGCCGGCTCTTCAGCACGAGCGCTTCGGTCCACGCTCGCTAACGATCCGCTGCAATCGAGCATTGAAGCACTCCAGGCAGACATCGTTGGTATTTGCGAGTGCCGGTTGAGCTTATGTAAAAAAAAAACACTCTTGAGGTATAAATAGAATTTACCAGAACTGTCAGACAGGAATGCATACACTTAGCAAACAAGTGTGAGGGTTGTCACCTGCTGACAAAGGTCATTGATTGATTGACCGGCGACACACAAGAGAGGTCGCGTGTGTTCGAGGCTTTGCCTGAAACGTGGTGCTCATGAGGGTCAAGCAGGAGGCGGCCAGGTGCCAGGTTCGCTCCCCCTTAGACTTACAGATCGGGATGTATCACGGAAAGAAGAATATCTCACAATACCGCAAGGGAGGAGAACTACGTGGACGTGCATCATCTTGAGTGGGACATTATTCCACAATTGACCAAAAACTCGGACTGGTAATGTCCTGGGAATATTTACCGACTCGCTTATTTCCCGGAAACGTAGCAGAAAAAACGAACGGGTGGCTACCCCTACCAGCGCCGCACCCCTCCAGCATCCTCTTGCGTTGACGCACCGCGCGAAGGTGCTCGTTTTGGGGTTGAGTCAACCTAGGAGAGGCACGCATTTTTCCACGTGCTCACTCGGCCGCTCCACCCTCGACCACAAACGCAGAAGAAGCATGCCCCCTGCGAGCGGGGTCCGAAGTGGCGCCGCCCGAGCCGGAGGACGCGGAGGCCTCTCCCCAGACGCGTTCCCACGGCGGGGCCGCGCGGGCGGGCGGGCGGGCGGGTGGGCGGGTGCTCGCGGCTAAGTGGAGTTGCAGGACGGGGAGGGGCAGAAGGGGGGGGAGGTGCGGGGGAGGGAGGGGAGGCAGCAATCGGCGTCGCAGTGGAGACGCAGGTTCGCAGTCAAGCCCACACAGGCCTCCTCCTCGTCGCTGCGCGCGCTCAGGAATGCCGTTTGCGGGCGTTGACCTGCCCCTGGTTCTCACACTCGTTTATTTAAAACTGAAGGTGCCTAAAAAGCTGCCGCCCTTTGTCAGCGGAACGCTCCGTTCTTTGTCAGCGGGACGCTCCGTTTGGCTGAACGAGCAGAGAAGCGTTTTCAAGCACTGTGCTGCACCTTCTTTGTTACTTTTCTTTACTTCAGAACTACAGGGGTAATTCAATAATTATTTTTGTGCTTGTGTTTTGCTCTTTAGGCAGGCGGTACACCAGCTGCACAATTCGTCACTGAGCAAAGAAACACCGCACAACTATTTTCCCCCTCTAAACTCGTCTCCGACGATCCCACCATGTGCTCGTTTTCACGGGGTGGTTAGACCTGGCACTCTCCGGGAGAGGAGCGGAGTGAACCGGGCCGCTGTGGCCTCGCGCCAGCGTGCGTGCGTGCGTGCGTGCCACCGCTGTTTGCGCGTGCGAGCGCCGTGTGTGCGCGCACACGTTTGCAGTTTTGTCGCGTTGGGGCACGCGTGCGTGGCCCTACGTGCGCGCACGTTCGCAGGAAACAGCCGGGGCGAGGGCGGCTCGCTAAGCGAAGCGTCCGCCGCAATGGCTGGCGCGCGATCGCGTGCCAGCCATCGCGGTCGCGCTTGGGGCGTGCTTTCGGGTTGTGCCTTGCGGTTTGACACGATGCGCCTGAGTCCGCACCCTCGGTCTCTTCTTTCCTGAGCCGCTCAGCACCGTGCCCCGCCCGTGCCGGGACGCTACGGCAAACGTGGTGCGAAACATTTCACCAAAAAATGAAGCAAATATGACCAGAGCATCTCCGGTGAGAATTGGTAGCTCCTTGCCAAGATATCTGTTGTGTTTTTGTCATTCGAGCCATTTGCATATTTACGTCACAATTATGAACGCTGATTAGAAGTTATTCCCCCAGTGTGGGGGATGGGGTGTGTGGTATAAGTATGTTGGTCATCATTGATTTTTTTCTTCTCCCATTTACATTAAAAATTTGCGCGTAGTTTTATGTAACGAGAGTGAGATGCTTGCAGTGGCCAGCGCGCCCAGCTTTTGTCAGAGAACAGCCCCCACCCCGGAAGATGACGTCACGGAAATGTTCCGAAGTCACTTCAATGGATCCTTTCATCCACCCTGTAGACTCACCTTTTAGAAGCGCTGCCAACGGGTGTTGTGTCACATCTCGATTAAACCAACATTCTTCATTCTCAGAGCAGGAATTAAAACCAACATTTTTTTTATTTGTTCAGGCATTGGTCACTGATGGGCTCCACTCCCTAGGCCCCACCCGGTCCACCTGTCCGGTGACCTCCTCCGCTCACACGCGGCATGAAGTGCCGCCCGCTGCGGGCGCTGGGTCGTGGCATGTGGGGCCCGGCACTATCTGATGATGCAGCCTCGGACAAAGTAAAATTAAATGTCTTTCAAGTCAGTCGTCCACAATTATTTTTAATTGCACTCCCCAATGCAAGAGAGACTCTAGCTTGAGTTTTGGCCACGCGTGGAATTTCTGTAAACACGTCTGTCAATACTACTACCCCTACTACTACCCACGTAGGCTTTTCCGCTCAGATGTCGCACCAAACGACACGTGGCACGACCCTAAAACACATCAGCGTTGCCGATATTCGACGCCGCTGCTGCAGATGCAGACTGCCGCGACGAAGATCGGTCCGTGGCTTCATGTCTTTTTGTCTTCTCGTCCCTCCCGCGCGCGGTGCTCAGTTTCGAGGCCCCGCAGGCGGCGACGGCGCTGGCGGCGGTGGAGGCGGCCGCCCCCAACTCCTCCTCCTCGCCGGCGCCCGTGGCGCAGGCCGAGACGTCCAGGCGGCCGCTGCTCGATGGCGACGCGACGCAGCTCAACTTCCGCGTGCAGCCCATCCCCGTCGCGTACCGCGAGCTCGCGCAGCCCTGGATCCAGGTGCCGCTGCCTAGAGCCCACATCTCTCGCACCGCGTGGCGCCATCCCGTAGCTCGTTGTGACATTCTGGGCGAGGTCGCACAGTGATCTGGCCAAATGTACGTCGGCTCAGATCGTTACGTGGCCTCACCCAAGCACCTATTATGAATAACAATAATAAGGACTGTGAAAACCTACGTGTTTTAAGTTACCTGTTCTATGTATTTTCCATTTTTTAAGTCTGGCTGTATCTTTCTCACACCTTTCCTCTCCATGTATTCCATCCTGTCCTCACACTTCCCCTTAACTCCCAACTCACACCCTTGTGATTCGAAGCATTGTCACGATTCGGTGATTCGATTCACGAGAATATTAAATTAATAATGTATCCGCTGTGGCAGCCATGCCTCGAATGGTTGCCGAAATCACGCAACAAATTGAAAGTCCGATTTTCCCACGCACGAATCGATGTTGACGAATCGACGCATCATTGCACGGTCCTGGGCCTCCCGTAGGTCGATTCAACCTCAAACGAGTACCTGGCGCGGTGTGTAAACATCCCCGCTTGGGAGACAAAGGCGGCCGGGCGTGGTGTTGGCCACCCACCCCCTCGTGTGCCGTGCCGACCTTCGTAGGCGCCACTCGCTAACGGCGCTTGCCCCGACAGTCTGTTAATGGCTACGCGGGGGATCTTTGTCTTTGTGCGTGCGGGCCAGGTGTTTGGCATGGAGCTGGTGAGCTGCCTGTTCTCGCGCAACTGGAACGTGCGCGAGATGGCGCTGCGGCGGCTGTGGCACGACGTGAGCGGCGCGCTGCTCCTGGCCAACGGGGAGGTGCGCACGGGCGGCGCCGCCGCGGCATCGCCTGCGGGGGGGGCGGCCGTGGCCGCGGGGGGCCACGCCGACCGGCCCGGGGCCCGGGGGCCGGCGCCGGCGGCGACCGCGACGGCCGGCCCGGCGGGCGGCGGAGCCGGCGGGGAGATGTGCGGAGAGACGGTGGTGCGGTGCTGCTGCAGCGTCCTGGCGCTGGTGTGCGCCGACCCCGTGTACAAGGTGTACGTCGCCGCGCTGGTGAGTGCCGCGTGCGGATACAGGGGAGTCGCTCGCCCGCTCGGCGTGGTCGCGGACCGCTCGTGGGGGAATTGCGCGGCGCTTTGCGCGCGAAGACTCCGTGTGGCACGCCGTCGACTGTGGGAGCCGCGCCGTGCCAGGTGTCAACGCGTTGCGGGCGCGGAGCGGCGCGTGCGTTAAGCAGAGGGCACGTCCGGAAGGGTAACTTGACAGCGGCCCACGTCGAGACCGAGGGAAGGAGAGAGCCGTTCCCAGGCTCGTGCGGCGCAGCTGCCCAGGGCCCAGTTTGGGTTCGGAGCGTCATGGGGGGTGGGGGGGGGATGGAGGGGTGGGTACGAATGTCCACCTTGCTTGCAAGCGCCGAGCGGCGTAAAGGTTATTTTTGTTCCCACGCTTGCCGTGTTGCAGGAGGGTGAGCGAGGAGGCAATTATTGCCCTGTGTTGAGAGAGGCTTCAGGTGCCTTATTGTTACACCAATAAACTTGTCAACCCTTCTAATGCGGTAAAAACAAATTTTACAGCAGTGCCCTTTAATGTCCTTGCCAAGGGTGCAAGTTGCGTGGGTTGCGGTGCAGCTCGCGAGTGCTCGGGTCCCCGGACACGGTCGCTGTCATCGGATGGCTTCTGCATCGTTCCAACGCCTCGCCTATCGCCGTCGCGAAATCAAAATGATGCGGTTCTCGTCTACCAACCCAAATACGGGGTAGATGATGTCAAGGATGACATCGAGGCAAACCGAGCGACCAGGATAAAGATCGGGGGCTCCGTACGGTGGAGAACTACGTTTCTGGTGCTTTAATCTGCGATCGGAATCTCAGTTGCGCTGCTTCGAGCTGGGACGTCGTTCTCGTAGCCGTCTTGGCGGCCACCCGGCCACTTCTGTTCCTCGGCGTCTTCAAAAGCTGCGACGCTACCGTCGTGGGGCTCTCACGGTGGTGAGCAGTCACCGTAGGAATACTCGGAAACTGTTCCCCTTCACGTAACAAAAATGTGAAAGTAACTTTTACAGAACCCATCGGCCGCACGCGGCCTTCTGCGAGTGAATAACTTCAGCAGTCTTAGCTCAACACGAGAGAACTGTGGAACGGTTTTGACATTCGGTATCTGACCAGTAGAGTCATGTGACTGCCTGAACCAATGCATGTGAACTGCCAGACGTTGATGTGGAAGGACCCTCTCTGTTAGATAAAATCTCCGTAACACGTGACACAAATCATAATCATTAGCGTCGCTGCGGAAGTAACAAATACACAAGCGTATGCTTAGCGCAGGTAAAGACCCAGTCGGTGCACAATGACGAACTCGTGGATTTATCATTCCACGCATTGTTCGTCTTATCAGTGTCCGTAAAGGACAAATCTTAAAATAATCTTCCTTTGTTAAAGACCGGTTCCTGCTTGAGATTTGGCCAACGGAGCTCATGAAACCGTCTGTTGGTGTTTTTGATTCAGGGTGTAGATAAAGAGATCCCGCTGTTATTCTGCGTGAGATAATAATTAAATATAAACGATGACCTTTGCCAGGTTGGAATGGACACCATCGATGGTGCACATCATCTTAAAATAGAATTTTGCAGCGATGATCGCTGTTGCGTAAGATAATTTGTGTATGCACGATGCATTCCCCTTGCTGATACGTTTTTGGAAGCCTCCACAGTGCTGCCCCCATCTCAGTTTGCCGTGGGGAAATCGTTCGCCGACAGAATCACGCGATATAATGAGGGATTGGCTACAACGCGAAATTATAACTTGTCATCATAATTCGTCATCATCATCAACGCAAAACAGTGACGTTGAAGTAGTTGCTTTCTCATGTCTGCGAACATACCGCGGTTCTATAGCCCCTGCAGGAGTGATGGACACCCATGACACGCAACGTACATCACATTTTAAAACAAGAATTCTTTCACGGGGCTGTGCAGTGCTTGCGCGTGTCTCTTCAATGCGTGCACCACGAGCTTCAGAACCATTGTTGAGCGATGATGAGTCGAGCCCCGCTTGTTCACCGACTCGGTACTGATATCATTGTGCGACCGCCCAATTAGAACCCTCACTCCGATACAAACACACTCTGCGCTGATACTGCACTCGCAGCGGTGTGCAAGCAGTTAACGAGAATGACGCATTCGTCAATAACGCTTCTTCCTGAAAAGAACGCTTTATATAATTAGATGCCTTGTGTTGTCAAGCAATGGCTCTTATTTAAGGTCAGGTGGTGAATTTTTATTTCCTACATGACCGGTAACGACGCCAAATAATGGTACAAACCAGTTTACCGCACTTAGAAGAGTCTACAGCGTTAAACGTAACGTGCTTGAACTTCATCACTAAGAAACGTTACCAATATTCCACTGGAGTTGTTTACCGGTTCCTGACTTTTAGGAACCGGTCATGGATTCTGAACACAGTTAGCGCTCCTCCTTTAACGCCCCGAGTTTAAGGTGGTGCCAGCTCACTTGCCTCGCCTTGCAAGGGAACATGAATTATCTCTTCTCACTTGAGGTTTTTGTGATGTTTAAACACCAGGGATGTCTTGAAATGCCGCCCATCAATCAACGGCAGTTGTAAAAGAGTGCGGCAAAGATAACGCTCGGCGCTTGGCTGTGCGTGGGCGCAGCAACGTGGAGTCTGCCTCCCGGCGCTGCGAGGCGTGCGTGTCAAAGTGTGGGGACGCGGGGGCCGTCTGCGTTGCGTCTGCGCTGCTCACAGCCACGAGACGACGTCCAGGGAGGGAGGGTCTCGCAGAGTTCCCCGAGCGGTCCGCGAGGGCGCGATGTGGGAGGGCGCCGGGGGTGTGCGGTCCCCCCACTCACCCCCCCACTCACCTTCTTCACTCACCCCCCCAATCACCCCCCCAATCACCCCCCCACTCACCCCGGGCTGTCGGCTGTCTCGACACCGCGGGTTTTGCGTGGCTAAAACGGTGCCACGTGAGGAAGGCCCAAAGTGTTTGCAATGCGGCGTTACGTTTAGAAGGGCGAGGGGGGAGCCGCACGACGCGTGGACGGGGACGCGTGGGAGCGGTGTCGAGGCGGAATGGATCCTGACGCGTGCTGATGACAAGTCTGTCCAGAAGGAAAGTGGCGCATGCAGAGGCATAGCACGAGAGGCCCGGCTGATGCAGCTATGGACATGATTGTGCGGCGAGGAAATTGTTGGGGAAGGAGACGGGAGTCAGTGGATCCTCGTGGGCCGCGGGCAGGAGGAGGTGGACTTCCCAGGAGAGGCGCCGATGATCACAAGCGGCTTAGGGCGCCCGCCGTGGCCGCCGGCCCTCTCGGCCTCTGCGGTGGTGGAGCGCCGAGGCCCGGAGTCTCTCCCGCCATCGAGCCCCCCCCCCCTGTCAGTGGCAGCTCGTGGCTCCGGTGCAAATTGCCCCTTGGGTTTTCCGGTTGCAGGTGAATGCGTGCAGGTTGGTGATTGGCTGGAATGCGAAACTAGCACGCGGCTTCTCCGTTCGCGATGGAGTCCATCAATCCTCACCCCATGTTTCCACGACTTCTCTGAGAACCGTGGATAATGAGAAGATTTGTGGGTTCTTTGGCTGCAGTGCAGGGTGGAATTCCTGGGTGAAGAGCGATATTCTCCTTTTCTGCATAGCACATCGACTTTCATATTGTTTCAGTCGGGGCATGCTTTTAATCGCGATCATTATATAATCGGTGATTACTAGTCGCAAGCGATACAAATAGTACAAAACGTTCACAGACGAACAATAATAGTTCCTTCTGTGGAACTCGAGGTCGAGAAGACGACTGCAGACAAATGTACTTTGGCACGACGCGTCGCTTGGAGGAATTAAACAATTCACAGAATGGCGGGCACGAGTGTGAGCGTCTGGTAGTGGCTGACCGAGGAGACAGCACCAGAACTCGAGTGGTGTCCACGAACCTTGACTCCCATCCACGAACTGTCCCCCTGCGCCTTGCGCGAGCAAACTCGCCACGGACAACTTTCCGCGACGTCACACACTCGGCGCTCTCGACGTTGTATTATTTGTTGTTGAATTTCGCAGCCGACGCGAATCAATGAAAGTCTTGCAGATGTTCTCGGCTGTCGCCCGCACCGCCGCTGTTGCTGCTACTGCCGTGGGACTGGCAGTGGCAGCTGTGCACACACGCCGACCCCCCGCCCCTCTTAAACCCAGGGTGCAAACAGCTCCGCGGACAAATACTGCCACGCATGAAACTGAGGATACGTACGGGGCCGCTGGGACCGCCCAGAGTTTGAGCAAACAGAACGCGCCCCGAGGAGGTGCGGCGAGATGGTGGGACGCGTTGTATCGGTGCGTCCACGTGTGCGCCTGTGCGCCTGTGCGCGTGTGTGTGCGTGTGTGCGGGGAGCGGTGGTGCAGCGGTTAGCGCTACGCTGCGCTACGAACCTGACCACCCGGGTCACCCGGGTTCGATTCCCGCTCACGGCCAACACCAGTGACGATTATCTGAACCGGTCTTGGGCCTTCCCTAGGTCGACTCAGCCTCAAATGAGTCCCTGGTGGGTGTGTAAACATTGCCACGAGGGAGACAAAGGCGGCCGGGCATGGTGTTGGCCACCCACCCAACAGTCTCGTTACAGGCTACACGGGGGATCTTTGTCATTTGTGCGCATATGTGCCCGTGTGCGCCTGTGCGCCTGTGCGTGCGTGTGTGCACGGCTGACTTTGTGAGCTCCTTCCCACGATTGGCCTCCTTCCCACGGTGGGCTACGTATGGTGCAAAAGAAGTTCAACATACATACGCGCAATCCTGGCCTCCCTCTCCCTCTTGCGCTATGCTGGCCTTCAAAGGATCTCACCAAGAGAAGCGCTTGTCCTAACATCTGTTAAGGCTATACGAGGTGTGGGGGGGGGGGGGGGGGGTCTTTGGTGTAGTGTTAAGTCCACAGGGTTCAGGTCGTACAAGTGTCTGAACCTGTCCTGGAACCTCCGACGGGGTGAATCGCCACACCATGCTCTGACGCCGCTGTTGCGGCCGTAACAGGTGCTCACTAACAGGTGCTCACGAACAGCACAGGTATGTGTAGCTAGGTATGTGTAGCTAGGTATGTGTAGCTAGGTGTGTGTAGCTGGTGCAGCTATTGAAGCGGACTGGAATAACAACGGTGAACTACTACGGCGGACGAGAGTAGGGTGGAGCACTTTTGGGCGCTTGAACCCGATATTGAAAAGTACCGCAGCAGCGTGGCCGACAGAACATCGTGTTCAATCGGTGCACCGCGACCTGCTGTGACACGCTGCAGAAACACGGTCGATTTAATCAAGAATACGGCATAAACACTGAAGAGTGCACAAGCAAGCGTGGAGAGATGCCGAGAGACGTGGAGAGGACCGCGTGGGTTGGCGAACACACGGAGGTCAATGACCTCAAACTGTTAAGAAACACGAACGGCCCGGGGAGAGACGCGGCGTGGCGAGAGGGGCGATGACCGAGGGGCGATGACCGATGGTCAAGGATAGTGGCGCATTGGCAGCCAAGGAATGGAACGCGTCCGAGAGGGCGTCCCCCGAGGAGATGGAGCGCTGATATCAGCTCCTCGCGTGCAGGAGCTGGGCGGAGGATTACATCGCAGCATCGGGACGGCTTAGGTAGCCCTTCATCCAGCAGGGGATCGAGCTCTCCCCAAGTGTCCCGTGAGGCTTCACAGGGGCAGTCTTTGTGAGTGTCGTGAGTCAGCGTGGAGCTGGGGGAGTGAGTGGTCGGGCTCTGGGAAGGAGTGCGGTGTGAAGTGTGTGTGTGTGGTGTGTGTGTGAAGTGTGTGTGTGTGAAGTGTGTGTGTGGTGTGTGTGTGTGTGGTGTGTGTGTGGTGTGTGTGTGAAGTGCGTGTGTGTGGTGTGCGTGTGTGTGAAGTGTGTGTGTGTGGTGTGTGTGTGGTGTGTGTGTGTGTGAAGTGTGTGTGTATAACGTGTGTGTGTGTGGTGTGTGTGAAGTGTGTGTGTGACGTGTGTGTGATGGCGCACGGCGTGTGGCCAAAACAAACCCCACCACCAGAGTCGTGGTAACTCTCTCACCCCCCCCCTTATCGGGCCCTGAGAATGCATGAGAATTCTCAGTGAAATTTGAAATATTTGAAAACCTGTGGTAAACACAAGCGCCGTGTGTTTCCCCGCATCAAGGCAATCCAAATTAATAGAGACCGCAAAGTAATCATTTGCGTCTTTGAGGAGAATATAAGTAGAAATATTCGTTGGGTTCTTCACAACGACACAGATTAATGTTTTTTATTGTATGTAAGTTTGTGTTGAATTAGCATCCATATCTTACCCATACCCATAAGAGAGTGTCCTTGCCAATTAAATCTGGCAGTTCATCAGCATTGATTCAAGCAAGGCTCACTGCCGATGAGACACAGTTTGTCAAAACCGGTCCAGAGTTTACTTGTATTGGGACAGTGCTCTGAAACTACGCTCTCGTAGAAGGCTGTGGGAATCATATGGATTGTATAGAAACATGCTGAGATATGTTTTTTATGACGCAGCGACGGACATATGAAAGGGGCCATATTGTCTGCTCGTCTCTCCACTTGGGTAGCACGGCTACTCTCGTCTCTACACTTGGGTAGCACGGCTACTCTCCCGGCTGGTGTTACCCGGCTCAGCCGCACGGGTCGCAGTGGGCAGCAGGGGTCTGCACCTGTTTCGTGTTCTCTAAATGTTTCCCTCTTCTCAATTTCAAATTGAAGCTAAGAGTGCGGTGTTTGTCGAGTGACGACATTATCATTGCACCACAACTGCCATGGACTGTGGTGGTCAGTGGCGCACTGGGCCTGCAACCCCGACGTCGCCAGTTCAGTGTCCTAGTGCGGCAGTGGACACAACAACGGTGCAAGCTTCTTGAATGCCCTCCGCTGCTGTCCACCCGGCAGTATTCATGAGCTTACCACGGTAGCTCGGTCGGCAGGTCGCACGTGGCGGAGAAAAGTGTGGGCACTCCGACTTCGTCCAAGTCGTTTGGCCAGCGTGGAAGAGAAGGCCAATATCTCTCTCCTGGAGGGGACTTTGACGGCCTTCTGTCGGCAGTGGCGAGACCAAGCACTTGCAGGGAGGCACCTCTGGCATGCGTCACCTTTTGTTATCGCACGCCTCCCAAGTTAGAAGTCGCCCGTGGCTCACTGCACGAGTGCACTTCGGGTGGTGCTCAACACGGTTGGTGAACCTGAGCCAGCGGTGGAAATTCCACATTCCTATCAAGAGGAATAGTCTATTCTTAGTACAACCACTGTTTACTGGTGCGCAAAACTTTTTTTGGCGTTCGAAGAATGCGAGGTTATTTTTGCATTGATTTTAGTCCACAGCGAAGATTATTAAACAGCAATGCAGTATAACATTAACTAGGCCTGTAACAAGTAACTGATTAAGAAGTTGAAATCAATTCTTCTGCTCTTGATGCACATCGATTGGTGTGTGTGCATTTTAATAATCCAGTTCCATCGGTCCAACACGTTTTAATCATCTAGTTCCATAGGTTCAACACGGCAGGGTAACCGAGTGAGAACTTATGAGGCAATACAAGGCAAAGGTGGTGAGGGTGCAGGGAATGGACGTGGGAGCATACACGCTCAGCACAGCGATGGGTTTAGCGGCGCTGCCTTGTGCTAGCTACTCTCCGCTTGGCCCCACAGTGGCCTACCACAGCCGGGTTTAGCAATAAGCGGGGTAGATTAAAGCACATTGCAATTAAGTTAATTATTTACTCAAATAACTATTTTGGTAATTATTATTCGAAAACATGCCATTAAGCAAATATCCCGCATATTTCTCAGCAGCAATCTCTGTCTGTGCCCATTCCCTCATCGCCGTGGCGGCGCTGTGACCAGCACCCCGGGGTCGTGACCCCCGCCGCGCTGTTTGTTTGTGGGGTGCCGCCACAACCATCGGGCGGCATAACTCGGTGTGGCATTACCTCGCGTTGTGGGACAGTGGCGGCAACGTCGCATGGCACTGCGCTCTGTTCATCACAAAGAGCCCTCGTGACGTGCTTTGTATAGGAGCTGTGCAGTCACCGATGTCACAATCGGCAGATACAATAACACGTTGGCCTCTAGCCTTGTATTGCACTCTCTACGCGTGCATTGCATGCGTGTGGCAAGGGGGAAGATCGCGGAGATTTTTAAAACAACCGCGATGAGTGATTGTCGGTCACCATCCCCATGATAATTGCTATCAAGTTCCGTGCCCCCAATATAGAGGGTGCCTCAAAAAAATGTTGACACTTATATGGGACTATCGTTTTTCATGGAAAAAGAACGGATATTATACTGTAACACGATAACAAATGTCTCCACTTGTTCACCATTGCCTGAAATCTTCTCCAGGTAGTCTCCAGAGCCCGGAGGCACATTTATTGTGGTGGTGTTGCAAATTCTTGGAAGTGTTCACATTTTTTTTAAGCACTCTGTATGTCCTGATTGGTAGATTCTTTTTTTGACGTTCAACATATTCATATTCATGGTCAGGTGCATGCAACTGCACCGCTCCAGTCAACACAATGGCCATTGTCGTCACCACTCTCGATATTTCACACCTCCGACGAGCACGGCTGGCGACGTACGGTCGCGCAGACCTACATGGCCACCGTCGACTTAGTGACGGCGCTCAGTCGCAATAATCCATCGCAGTCACGCAAATGGGTTTTATCTGACGATCGTCGTGGATGCCCCGCCCCCCCGCCCCTGTGTAGAAGACGCTGCGGGCCATGCTGGTGTACACGCCGTGCCACAGCGAGGGGGAGCGCGCACTGCTGCAGCAGCTGCTGCGGCCCGTCGTGGAGACCATCCTCGTCAAGTGTGCCGACGCGCACAGGTGACGCGCGCGGAAATACGTACACGCGCACGCTGACACACGCACGCTGACACGCACACTGACACGCGCACGCTGACACACGCACTCTGACACGCACGCTGACACGCGCACGCTGACACACACACTGACACGCGCACGCTGACACGCGCACGCTGACACACGCACGCTGACACGCGCACGCTGACACGCGCACGCTGACACGCACATGCTGACACGCACGCTGACACACACACGCTGACACGCACACGACGGGGTGGGCGGTCAGCGCCTTGTTTCTCACACTAGGAGGTACTTATTTGAAGCTGAGTTGACCTAGGGAAGGGCCATGTGCGTCACATGAGGTGCTTGCCACTAGGGGGGGGGGGTCATGGGGGGGTCCCTTGGTCATAAAGAATCGGCGCATTGGAATAATTGAGACGAGACGAGAGGCGGCATAATTCACTTTGATTTGCCGTGGCATGTCAGTGTGCTGTCAATGCGAATCCCTGTCCTTGATTTCTTGTCGCCGACAGCCGCATGAGCCAGCTGTCCGTGTCGACGCTGCTGGAGCTGTGCAAGGGGCAGAGCGGCGAGCTGGCCGTGGGGAGAGAGATCCTCAACTCCGGTACGCGTGGCCCCCTCGCGCCCTCTGATGATTGGCGCTGAACCTATTCTAACGCTGTCTGTAAATGTCGAGAAAACTCTTTGGCACTTCGGCCTTCGCCGCCACTCGGGGATCTTCAGCCGAAGATTCTCGCGGTCGCACGTGGCGACAGCTTGAGAGAAGCAACATGAATGAGAAACTTGTCGCACACAGGAGAGCGTGTGGTGGCTGATGGGAGGACTGAGCCAATGGTCACCGTGACGCCTCTCGGTTGCATACAAATCACCTTCTCCGTAAATTTTTTATTATCTATCCAATGGATTATGTCTGCAGCGAGCGCTACACTTTTCCTGGTGGTGCAGTGCATTGTGGGCGTCTGTGCCCGGGCCACTTGTTGTGGCGTACGCGTGCATTTTCATCACTGCCCGACCATCGTCACCGATTTACCGGCTGGCAGGGCGAGACGCTGAACCTGCCCACGGCTGGTTCTCCAGGAAGTCGTGGGTTCTCCCCTTATCTCAGAAACGTCTGCCGGTGGTTGCCAAAGCACTCTGTGCTCTGCAGAGTAGATGTTTATTCGCCTCTTGTGTTGTTATCCTCTGCACTAGCTCAAAGTACAATTCAAAACATATATTTCTTGCAAATATTTTTCAAAAATGGTTATTAATATAACTAAATATAGAAAAATTCTGGTCATAAAATAGTTGAGTAAATAGAAATCTGACGAGTGAATCACCATCATAATAGCTTTTGTTTTTCTGAGTTTGTGGTTATACTTTTTTTGGTATTTCTGATTTGCATTGGGCTTGTGGTTAGAATTCCACCTCCACAGAGCCGGGTGACGATGTGTGGCATTGGCAGTGCTCTGTCTGCTGCAAATTGGGTATTAAACACTTGTTGCAAAGTTATTGTCCACATTTTGAAAGTTTGATAATCACCGACTATAAAATATAAATGCAAAATGGCACACTCTGGTTTCCATTGGTCGCTCAATGAGCCTCTCATTGAACTGGAGGCGATCCTCTATTGGCCCGACGTTTACAAGGCAGTGATATATTTTCAGCGAATAATGAATAGTGTGTTAATTTGTCACATAGGGTTTGTTTAAACAGGCTGACAGTTTTAGAGTTTATTGGGGGGACGGTTTTAGATCGATGTCGTGATAAAGTGTGTGTAGGGGTTGCCCCGACGCTCGGAATGAAATCTGTAAATTGTGGGAGAAGCTCGTCATGGCAGGAATTGCAGCGCAGGCCGTAAACCCTCGAACAACGCGCAGTGATGATGATGGCCGTGGCAGGTGACACACGAAGGTGTGAGACCTTGAGGCAGCAGCACATTCCAGGGTGTGAGGCCTTGAGGCAGCGCCGCACTGCGGGAGGCGCTCATCTCCCAGCGGCCCCCAACCTCCCGCCCCCACACGGTGCCCTTCCGAAGTAGCCGAGCGACCACCGCACACTCATTCTCATTTAAAATGCGGAAATGTGTGGCATTTCCAACGTTGTGTGTCCATGGCAACAGAGAGAATAACGTGCCGTGGCTTATGGAGGATTATGAACTGGGGGTGGGCGGTGGTGGCTCAGGAGGCCAGACAATAACTCGGCCTCGCCGCTCCCAGGAGGCACCTGGGGAGGGCATGGCAGAAACAGGAGCAGCAGTGTTCCTTGCGAACACTCCCAGGCGCAGCAGTAGGCATTGTTGTAGTAGGTGTTGTAGACGTTGTTGTAGATGTTATTGTAGACACTGGTAGACGTTGTTGTATAGGCGTTGTTGTAGATGTTGTTGTACAGGCGTTGTTGTAGACGTTCCTGTAGATGTTGTTGTACAGGCGTTGTAGACGTTGTTGTACAGGCATTGTTGTTGACGTTTTTGTGCAGACGTTGTTGTAGACACTGTTGTACACGTTGTTGTAGATGTTGTTGTACACGTTGTACACGTTGTTGTACAGGCGTTGTTGTAGACGTTCTTGTAGATGTTGTACAGACGTTGTTGCTGCCCTCGTGAGTTGGATCCCTGCAGATTCTCAACCATTTTGTGTCCGTTTTTATTTTACACATTTGCTGAGCACCAGCCTCAAAGGTTTCAAACAGCCAGCAACAGACAGAGCTATCAGAGTTGTTGTAGATAGGAATGAATACGGTTTGTTTTGTTTAATAGAACAATGTTATAATAATAATTTAGGGGAAAGAGGCGATAATGGGCACAGGGAATTACAAAGTGGAGCAGTGCGAGGGAGGAAGCGGAGAGAGAAGTGAGTTGACCTGCGGTGCGATGTTGGTGGTGGATGAGACGAAGCAGTGTGCATCTGTTGAAAATGTTTGGGATTGGATATTTACTGGAATGACAATGCTTCAGCTTGTTTATGGCTATGTGCAATATACACTGATTGCAGTGCTGACTTGGCATTACCCAGTTAAACATGTAAATACGTTTCTATTAAGTTCTCTTATTTTATTTGTTACTTTTTTTACAATCTCAGCGGAATACGTTTTGTCGCCATTTGTTCCTGAAGTGCCGTACAGTTTGTATGTTAAGTGGCGTCGACAGCGACACCCACGAACTGCTCCCCAAGAGGCCCTTGCCCGGTCACGGCCCAGATCTTCAAAACGTTCCAAAAGTCACGCTGCATCTGAAGGGCACTGCCGCCCGGCTCCACACAAAGACCAGTGCTTACGACTCTCCCAGGTCATCCTCTCAACAGCCTTTTACCTCCTCAATAAAGGAAACAGTTGCCCGGTCTCCCTGGTTGCTCGTGCGAAGAATGAATGGAATCTGCATTAATGAAGCGGGAACTGCCACTGGGTATTTCCATTCCTGGAGCCTGTCGTGCGATTACAGCCGTGCCGCCCCAGAGTGGCGCAATGCTTTCCCGGGGTTTATTGGCTGAGTGGGTGGACTTCACTTTGTTCCCGGTGACTCACGGCGCCCACAGGGCCTCCAGGCTGCCTGACTCCCGTGCGAGGCCACTCCGTGTTTGTTCACCTCCCCCGTACATACATCTCCTCCCTCTGCTGATGAGGCTCAGAAGGACAAAATTGGTCCAGAGTTTGCTTACTTAAACAAATGTTGCAGGGTTATATTGCTGTTTAGAGGCAGTAGGGTGTTGAATTTTTTGATAGAGATATGGAGACAAAACAGAGTTCTATTTATATGTGCTGTTCCCATAATGCTCCACATTAACACATAATGAGTTTGTGGTTTTGGGTTCAGGCTGACCGCAGACACACAAACATCACGAGGCAGACGCTGTGCTTCCTCCACACATCTGACCTGAGCGTGTGGACAAACCCATCAGCCACACGTACACACGCAACCATCTCTCTGGCAGAGCAGAGCGATTGTTCGTAAGTGATGATTGGCCGGCGAGTGCCAGCGTGCAAGCTGACCCACGTTCACATCGTGACATTGACGAGGTTGCACGGCCTAATTTATTTTGAACTTTTGTTGTTCGTCGCCTGCGCCGGCAGAGTGGAAGATTGATGGCGATAGGTGTCCTCTCGTGCTAACGCGAGGCGTATTTTTTACATTCCCGCCCATTCTTTGTGTGACGAAGCACGGGAAAGAATACCGTGCTCTCAACGTAGGCAAGTAACAATTCACAAATTTAAATCCTTCCTCCCGCACACGGTACATGTATCGAAGTGTGTGTGTGTGAGAATCAATTAGATTCATATGAGTTGTATGGAAATAGTTCGTGGAACACCTGCATCCTTGCTAGGCTTTACATTCACCACAATGCCAGAATAATATTTGGTTCTAAACTCGAACCGCAACGCCTAAATTACGCCAAGCATCAATCCGCGAAGAGTCGGCGGTCACAGAGGCCCATTGCACGCGGAAGTGCAGTGCTGTAATCCCAGCCTGACAAGTGGAGGTCTTGACAAGTCTGAGCCCTTTGATAAAGATCGACCCGTGTGACCAGTAGCTGTGGATGTTGACTTTTCCATTATGTGTGCAGGCAGGCGCTCTCGCCGCTGCCAGCGTGCGCAGTGGAGGAAATAGATGGTGGGCTTGTCATTGTGGCTGCAGCGCTCGCTCCTGTGTGCTGATCACTCGGCCGTACGCCACATTGTGCTGCTGGTCGATTTCAGTCTTGTGGAGTTTGAGCTGGCTTAAGTCCAACGCCGGCTTGGCGGGAAAATGCCCCAGTGGTCCGATGGCCTGGTTCAACCCCCGGTGCGGCATCCAATATTACACCCAGGCCTGTGGCAACTGATGACTGATTTCAGGAGCACAGATGCAGAGATTTTCACATATTTCATTTTATTCTTCGTATGGTTGATGCAGAGAAACCAACAGCTGTTACTTTATATTGAGGTGGTTCAGCCGGATAATCACGTCAAGAGTAGCAGGGTGTATCGCTATTGTGATGCCTGCTTCGTGTTTGTGAATTGGGAATGTAATTGCATAATCAATAAATAGAAATAAGCTGCCTTAGGGCCTTAATGACATTCGTCCACAGATAATGCTAATTTTCGCTGGTTTTGTACATTGTTGATTTAAAGATTATAGCTGGCTTAAACACTGAGATGTAGTTCATCTCAATGGATACGATCAATGATACTGAGAGTGCTATTTGTGCAAATCAAGTGGCATTTATGCCCCTGCTTGAATTTATGCCCCTGCTTGAATGCATCCAATTTTTGTCTTTTTCAATGCAAAATCAGGGTTGAATATGTAAAATCACTAACAACCACTTTCCAACAGACATCATTTATGACCTAAACACATCGGCAGAGAGCTATTTTAAACGTACATTTGCACGGTGACTCTTTTCTCTCTCTATTGGGAAAATCTAGTTGTTGTAGATTCTTTTTACGTCTAAACCAAATGGATTCTTGCTGCCCGCAAATTATGACCCACTTTTGTGAGGAGTAACTTCACGGTCAAGTTTAGAGCGCGAACGTGGCAGACCCGAGTTCAGAGGTCGTCACTCCGTCATCGCCGTCTTTGTCATCTCCTACTCTCGCGTCGCACATTGGCCCCGTCTGAAGCCATGCACACATCAAGTCCACAGGCAGACATCATTTGGCAGGGGACACGCACAAACATCCCCTTGCTCTCATGAAATTTTCGCATTTCGTTTTTAATTTGCAGGCACTTTAGAAACTTGTCCGTGATTGTCAGCACAAGTTGGTCTAATGGGGCATTGCCCGTAAGGCAAAGTGATCTCCAATGTTTGGCGTATTTAATCATTGCCAGATGTGGCACCTTCGAAATGGCCCGCGAAAATCCACAGAGGGCCTGGACTTTAAATCACCAAACGCTTGGTGACCTCTGGGCATTTCGGCCGTCCACTGCACGTCGCATGGCCTTGAGCTCACGTAGCGCAGCACGCTGCGTTAAGAAAACCCAGATGAGCTGTGATGAACAACCTCTGACTTTGTCGGCAAATACCGGAGGGCTGGGTTGCACCACGCCCTGCACAGTGTGTTTTAAAGTGAGCGTTGGAGTTCCTTACAATCAGTGTCCAAATTGGACACATCATAAATGACAATATTCTGACTTCTTTCTTTATTACACTTGTTATATATTCCCTCCCCCCCCCCCACTGACATTTTGCAGCAGAATAAAAGCTTCAGTGTGTTTTTGTGGTTTGGGAAATATTCGAGCGATCTCTCTCTCTCTCTCTTTTTCTTCTCCTGCCATTTTGGCAGATGTTCAGTTGGGCTTTATCTCCCCACCAAAGTTTATTAAATTTAGAAATGGCTGCCTCCCGGCGCCCCCCCCCCCGCTCGCGAGTGTTGTTCCGCGTCGCTATGGCACCGCCGTTCGATTCGAGGCTGCTTTCATGTGCTGGAGCACATTGCACGGTCTTGTTTTGGCCTCTGGCAAGTTTCTAATTAAATTCTCTGCAGCGTGGTCTGTGACCTTTGCTGCATAATGTTAATCTTTTGGAAGCTGTCAGCAGAAACAAGAATGCATTTGAAAAGTCTCATTTTTAATGCGTCTGAATTATCGCAAAGCAAAGTTCAGTTCAAGGTCGAAAGGTCATCGCCACCATTGCCATCGTTGGCCATATTGCGTTATCGCTGTCTGCACCTTCTGCATTGATTCTTAAACATGCCATTTGATGCCTGTATTGTGAGCCTATGAATTGATATGGATGCAATGTTCTATTCCACGTGATTACAACATTGCAACAGATATCATTTGCCACAGCTTAATCGGACCTTTCACTGCTGACCGCTAACAGCTTACCTTAACTCTTCCAACTTGAGTTGATATCAAATATAATACAAGGAACGTTTGAGAATTCCACCGTTATCAACAACCAACTGCTTTTGTTTCGGTTGTGCAAAGAGAGCGCTCATAGCGCATCGCGTGGTGCGCAGTGCGGAGACCACCGCTCAAACCCCGTCGTGTGTCTCTTGGCCCCCCGCCCTGCAGGCTCCCTGGGCATCGGCGGCGTGGACTACGCGCTCAGCTGCATCCTGGACTCCCCGCCCGACGCCTCCAACTGGCAGGGCACGCTGGGCCGCCTGTGCCTCATCGAGCGCATGCTGCTCGAGTTCCCCGCCGAGTTCTTCCCGCACATCCTGCTGGAGCGTGCCGCGCCCAGCAGCCCCGCCGCCGCCACTGCCGGGGGTTCGTCCGGGACGAGCGGCAACGTCGACGGCATCCAGGGGGACAGGTGAGGCCTGGCGCACGGGCGCCCGACGGTGCCACGCAGCTGGTTAGTTTGGCCGAAGTTGGATATCTGGGGCGAGGCACCCAGCTCTTGGCTTGCCGTACTTTCGAAGGTTACACGGAAAGCGGTCGGGTCGAGTGATGATCCGGCGCTCACCGAGTCGCTCCCTCGCCGGCGGTCAATCGCCCCCCTTGCCACTCTTACCATTAAGATCATGATGATGATGGCAGGGGCTGCAGGCGAAGGAGGCTTCTCTTAGCAACCTCTTGACGCCGGTTCAATTACGGACCGTCGTGACGCTTGCTCCCCTCGTCCCGTGTCCCCCCTGCCCCAGGTATGAGAAGCTGTTCTCCCTGCTGGCATTCGCGCTGCGCTCGGCGCCGCACTCGCACGCCGTCGTGGGGAAGCTGTCGCGCCGCGTCTTCCTGAGCGCCGCGCGCATGGTGGCGCCCGCGGGCCATGTCTTCCTGCGCATGGCGGCCATGCTGGAGGGCCCCGGCGCGGCCCACCACGCGCGCCTGCGTCGCCGGCTGCTGGCAGTCGCCGTCGAGATGGAAGTGCGCGAGGCGCTGGAGGCGCTGGGGGGCCCCGACTTCCCGGGGCCTGGGGGGGTGGCCGCGGCTCCCGCCGCGGCGTCAGGCGGGGGAGATGTCTCGCACCCAAGGATGAGCGGCGAAGAGTTCGGCAGACTCGCTTTGGCACAGCCAAGCACCATCTTGAGGCAAACGTCGCTCCCAGAACAGACGCAGCTCCAGCAGCAGCAGCAGCAGCAGCAGCAAAAGGAGTCCCCCAAGACCCGCTCACGCCCACTCGCGCAGTATTTCCCGGTATCGCCGCTCGCAAAGGCACAGCTGGTTTCCCCGTCACACACGGCCAACGCATTTGTCCCGTCCAGCACCGCGGGGACCTCGGCCGCCGCTCAGCCCACGCCGGGGCCTCCCGCCGTGCCGATCCTGGGGCCCGGCCTGCCTCCCGTCACGAGGCCCTCGACGCTGGCGCTGTCGTCGGCCGACATCGCCGCGCCATCCGCGTCGTCGCCCGCCGCGCAGACCCCGGGCTCGGGGGTCGGCGAGCGGCCCGGGACCAAGGCCCCCGCGCAAGCGGCGACCCCGCAGGCCGCGCCCGGGCCGCAGGCGTGCCGCGACACGCGGGACCTCGGCTTGGTCCCCGAGGACGGCAAGGAGCGAGAGCCGGAACCGGAACGGGAGCCGCCCCTGTTCACGCAGACGCGCCTGGCCTCCAACAACCAGGTGCACCGGCCCAAAGCGTCGCGGCCCGGGCAGCCCGCGAGCTCGCCGCTCGGCAGCCCGGCCCGCGGGCCCGGGGACGTCGCCGAGGCGGCGCACGTGCGGCCGGGCCAGCCGGAGAGGAAGTCGGCCGACTTCGAGCGCGTGCACGTGAAGCTGGACCTGCCGCAGCGCAAATCCACCGACCTGGACCTGAGGCAGGGCAGGCTGGAGCCGCCGTCGCACAGAGAAGCGGAGGCCCCCTTCGCCTCCCTCGCCGCCGCGGCCCCCGCCCCCGACGGGGCCGCGGGGGCCTCGAGCCAGGGCTTCGCCGAGCTGCTGGGGAAGTTGGAGAGACGACCTCGGGAGTCGGGCGCTGCCGCCGGCGGCGCCCCCAAGCCGAGCTCCTCCGACTTCTTGGAGAGGAAGCGCGGCTTGAAGTCGCCGAACAACGGAGCCCCCTGCGGAGTCGGGGAAGGGACGGCGGTGGGAGGACAGAGCCGGCCCCCGTTGCCGGGCCCGGAGGCGGAGGGCGAGCGTGGGGACGAGGCCGCGGGGCGGCGCCGCGGGGAGGGGGCCCCCGACCCCCCGAGGGAGGAGACGGCGCTCGAGTCGCGCGGCAGGGCAGGACGACGCGAGGACGGGCGGCGCCGGCGTGGCGCTGGCACCGGGGGATTCCGCTCGACCCGGCGCCAACGCTGGAGGCCGGGAGGCCGCGGCGGGCCCAGTCCGCCCTCCCATGAGCCTGGACCTCAAGCCGTGCGAGCGTCCGGCGCGCGGTGAGTGCCGGGCTGTGCGTGAGGGCGTGCGCTGCCAACTCTTCTGGATTGTCCCGTCTTAAGTTCAGTGTCCAGGGAAATGATGTGAGGCTTGCATTCAAATTCCTGGTTGATGTCATTTGTACCATAATGGCACCGCTCAAGACAACGCATTGACATGTAGGGCGTTCCTCTTTCGAAATTGTGAGATATTCTTGTTCCCATAATGTTTCCCAAATTTGAATTTTTACTTCAGAGGTGGCAACCCTGCCAAATTTCTATTGATATTTACCAGAGAAATTACACTGAATGTTATTCTATGCATGTAGGGCCCTATTTAAAGAGCTTGACATTTTGCGATCATCGCCCCGCCCCCGCCCTCTATTTGGAAGAAGTTTCTACTCGCTCGCCGCCGTTTGGTGTTACGAGGCGCTCCGGTTCTGGCGTGGCATCGCGTGCATCCCATCCGGCGACTGTTGTCGGTGACCGCGACTGGCCGCCGTTTCTCTTTGCCGCTCGCAGACGGTGCCGCGGCCGCGGCGGCGGCGCAGGACGAGGGGGCGGCCACGCCCATGGAGGACCGCTACCGGCGCCTCGAGGCCTCGGCCGACCTCAACTCGAGCACCGAGGACCTGCTGGAGACGCCGAGCGCGGCGGGGCCCGCGGGAGGCCGCCCCGGGGATCCCGCGGTCACCTTCGTCTCCGAGGTGGCCGTGAAGACGCCCGAGAGGCCCGGCGGCGGGGGCGGAGGAGGAGGAGGGGGGGGAGGAGGCGGGGGAGGAGGCGGCGGCGGCGGCGGGCTGGACCCGTCATACCGCGAGGACGTGCAGCGCAACCTGCACTGCAAGGAGAAGATGGAGGCGGAGGAGGAGGAGGCACTGCTGCTCGCCATGGCCGTGTCGGCCTCGCAGGACGCGTTGCCCACCATCCCGCAGCTCGCCCTGCAGCCGGAGGACGACGTCATCCTGTTGCAGTCCAACGTGCGTGCACGCATGTGTGCGCGCGTGTGCCTGTGTGCGCGCGTGTGCCTGTGTGCGCGCGTGTGCGAGCGTGTGCCTGTGTGGGCGCTTGTGTACCTGTGCACGTGCGCGACTCGTGAATACGTTGCGAACTTAAAAGGGATATCAATGGATGCGTCGTTGCCTCCAAAGTAGCCACACGCATGCACCTGCACACACACCTGCACACACACCTGCACACACACCTGCGCCGGGCTGACTGACCGAAGCCGCCCTCGTCGTTGCAGACGTCCGACGTGGGCCTGGAGCACACGCGTGCGCACCAGCCGTACCAGGAGGGGGCCGAGTGGCTGAGGGGCCAGCAAATTGGGCTCGGCGCTTTCTCCTCCTGCTTCCAGGCGCAGGACATCGGCACCGGCACGCTCATGGCCGTCAAGCAGGTGGGAGCGCCGGGCGCGTGATCGGAAAGACGTCGTCGGCTGTCGTCGTCGCCGTCATTACAATTGTACGGCGCATCTCGCCGAAGAGTGTCTTGAAAGTACAATAAACTTGTTTTGTCATCGCATGGCACTGAGCTATTAGTCATTCGGCGTTTGGCCGATAACCACACATCCGCCCCTCGTGACCCACCGCTCGTTTGTAAAAATTCTTTAGGAAAGAGCCACGTTTTGAGCCCCGATTTCAAACCATACAAAGTTGGCCATGACTGAAGTTCTCACTGAAGATGGTTTTGTGTTTTTGGAGCTCATTCTGCAAAATCTCTGTTACCGTTACGGGTAACTGGTGTGGTGTGTGAACACCACAGCTTTTTTTAAGTGCTCTCTAACAGCACTGCCCCAACAGTCTCTTAAAGTCTATCGGGGGATCTTTCTCTCTGTGTATACGTACACATCTCACTCAGCCAAGGGATAACACCTGGGTCTGTCCCGTGACCGCCTGCCAGCAAAGAGCCTTCCACACTTCACGAGATGAGCTCAAAGTGCACCCAGCCTGGCGTAAGCGCCGTGGCGACGGCTGCTCTCCCCCTCCTCCTCGTCGTCGTGTGTGCGTGTGTGCGTGTTGTGTGCGTGTGTGCGTGTTAACGTGTGCGTGTGTGCGTCCGTGCGTGTCAACGTGTGCCCGTGGCCCACGTGTCCACTCCAGGTGACGTACGTGCGGAACACGGCATCGGAGCAGGACGAGGTGGTGCAGACGCTGCGCGAGGAAATCCGCATGATGAGTCGCCTCGACCACCCCAACATCATCCGCATGCTGGGCGCCACCTGCGAGAAGAGCAACTACAACCTCTTCATCGAGTGGATGGCCGGTACGGCCCCAGCGTTCCGGCCTCGGTCTGTGTGCGAACTGTCCAGCCTGCGATATTAATTGTATGACTATTTTCCATTTATTTGTGGCTTTATGTTTGTTTTTTAAATCAACATTTGGGCGACGTCTGCCGAGCGAGCTCTGCGGGAGGTCGTTTACAGGAAGGGGGTGGAGTCAGAGTTTGATGTAAACAGAGTTTCCTGTGTAGTCCCTGGGACACCTACCCATCCCAAAATAAAGTTCCGTTCTGTTTTAAATATCTTTAACCAGTATGGCTCTCGGTCAAAAGTTAAAGGCTCTCCCTGCTCACATGCAACTGTGCTCATCTCCTGAGCCAGTTGTGGAAATTCCACATTCCTATGGCAGGGGATAGTTTCCCCATAAGATGCCACAATTGGCTTCCCACAAAGCAGTACCTATATTATTGGCCCCAGAACGATGGTGGATATGAACTCCCAAGCAAAGTGTGCCGATGCACGCCGAGGACATCCAAATAATCGTCAGAGTTTTGGATCGTGTTTTATTTACAAAATCCAATCTTTTTTGTTAATCTCATTTGTACTTTCTCTATTTTGTATTTCTTCTGGATTGTTCATTCGATGGCATTTAACTTACGTTAAAAGCATTCGGTCTGCATTTAATCCGTAGAACTCGATATTTGACGGCAAGTTGCGAGCGTAAGAATCAATAATATAGGTTTTCTGGGTTAGATCGCGTAAATATATAAATGTGTCGTTAAACCTGCCACCGCCCGACTCGATTTTAACCACCGGATCGTGACGCACCTCCTGCTCGTCGTCGCTCCTCCCGTCGTGGAGTCCGCCGAGCGTCGGGAATCCTGCGGCAGTTCCGGCCGCGCCTCCTGACGACGCTCTTTGCCGCGTGCGTCCTTTCCGCAGGAGGCTCCGTCGCAAACCTCCTCAACAAGTACGGGCCCTTCCACGAGCGCGTGGTCATCAGCTACGTGGAGCAGCTCCTGCGGGGCCTCGCCTACCTGCACTCCAACCAGCTGATCCACCGCGACATCAAGGGTCGGTCGCACACGCCGCACTCGCCGCACACGCCGCACTCGCCGCCCACGCAAACGGGAAGATGTCTGTTCAATCCCATAACATGACAGAGCAGATGCCACAATTTTAATTCCAAATACTTTGCCACTGACAGGGAAAAGCGTTTCTGTGTTCTCCAGATTATAAGACTCTTACCAAAAACTTTGAGTTCTATTCACTTGCATTAACGATCAGTTTTGATGATGTAGTTTACTGTAAATTCCAATTTCTGTCTCCCCATGGTAAGTCCAGTGGAATTCCACTGATCTGGTTATTAATGCAAGGAATTTCAGTTCCCCCCAAAGAAAGTTTAGCATCTCGTATGTGGCGGTGCCAGAAGGAGGTCGCGTTTTGCCCTCTGACCCCTGGCAGCTCGCACAATGGAGGCCTGTGCGGGACCCAGCGATGCGTGGCTGCCTCAGGTGCAGCGCGTTACCGATTAACCCGAGGAATAACCGCACGCCTCTCCGTAACGAGTACGCGTTGGCGCGCCGGCAAAATTACAGGCAGCTTCCAGACGTTTAAAAAAATTGCACTCGTTGCTCAGATGCGTTCCCACAAACCCCGGCGCTCCCCGTGAGGGCGGCGCTCGCGAGCGGAATGTGCGTAGGCAATCGCATTCCTCGTCCCAGGATGCGCACCGCCACCCAATGTCCATTCACGTCCTTGACGACCCACGCTGTGGTGGCGGCGGCGGCGCAGGGGAGCCTCGCCGCTGCGCCCGCTCACGTGTGACGAGGGCTGTGACGATTAGCACCCCGCACCTCCGATTAGCACGGTTACGTACGGTGCGAAAGAAGTTCGACATACACTTGTATTAACGAGGACTGTGACGAGTTAAAGGCAAAGGCGCATCACTGAAGCTTCTCGCTTGCGCCCCTGCTGGGGAAGGACCTCCACGAGAGTGAGCCCCTGAGAGAGCCTCTCCAGAGGGTGTTTTTGGCCTCCTCTTCAACTCTGGCCAGACGTCTTGGCAGAGGTTGGAGAACCCACACTTTACCCCACCGCACACAGCTGCTGGGTGGACACAGTCAGCCGTGGGGGAATTAAGAAACTTTGCCGTGCCAGGAGGTGGGCCCGGGGCCCTCTCGACGGCACGTCCGGTCTTCTAACCGCTACACCGCAGTGGCAGCGTTATGAAGGAGAGTAACGCGATTTTTTTTTTAAGTTTGCCAAAATACCAGATAAAAAAATAATTAAAAGGAAGCCATGAAAACATGTTTAAGGGCAGTTTTCATGGAAATGTCGTGTGCGGTGAGACTGTGGCCAAAGGATGTTGCAGATCCAGTGGCGATGTTTCGGGAAAAAGAGCGCTCCTGCTGTTGGACAAGGAGATGGAAAACCTCGGCATTTCATTTCACAAACGCAGTCAGCCGCTGCCTGCGTTTGTTAAATGAAATGCCGAGGTTTGTTGTTGTTCTAGTTTATATGTATACAGTATATCGTTTCTGGGGACAACAGTACGGAATGTAATTTATACAGCATACCATTTCTGGGTGTATTTGTCGATAATTAAGCAGAGTGCTCTGCACTTCCCCCACTGAAACGATTTTATCGTGGAAATCACGGCCTTAATTTCTCTATAATTTTTTCACATCACCGTGAAAATTGCAGACCTTGGTCCATCCACTGCTGGATGAAGGTCCTCCCACACAGTATCGAAGCTGGCCAGGCCAGGTTGGTTATGACGAGGGAGGAGGGGGTGGCCGGGAGTCCAATCCGAGGTCGCCGGCTTCACAGAGCGTGACGCCAACCCCTGCGCCACCGCTCCCCCCACCCCGCTATCGCTGTTTACTACGTGATAATCGTACGCCTCGAGTGGGGCTGTTTGCGGTCACAGGGTATTATTAAAGAGGGAAGGTTGTTGATGGCCACTGTCCTTGATCTGAGTTAAAATCAGAGACAGGAAGAGTGCAGCCGCAGACAGATATGCAGTCATCCCCACTGAGAAGAATGGGCGGGAGAGAGCCATAATGCACAGGATACCACACGCGACACACTGGGGCGCCTGATACCATTGTGAGTGTGTGGCCTTTTGGATATCTGTGGCAGACAATTGTAGAAAATGTTAAAGCAGCCATTTAACAATGGCTTGTTTCTAAATGTGTATTGGACGTATGCATTCTGTCTAGTTGAGTATTGACCGAGGTTTGGGCGTTCAGCCAATTACAATCCGGTGTTCTTGATGACACGGGCATACAAATGAAACCGGCACGTGTTTACGGTGCCCGCCGCCGGTTTGCGCTTGCGGCGCAGTCCGCCTTGCGTCGTGCACCACGTCGCAGTCGCCCCCCTCGCGGAATCAAAGCCTCTTGTTAGAGGGGGCAAGCCTTCGGGTGTTTATTTTTTGACTTGTTATCGGAGGGCTTGTTTATTTTTGCGTGACTTTAAAACGTCACCCGGGGACAGCGAGCGACGAGAATAGTCTCCCCGGTGGGCCCCTCGTGACGCGTCCTGTCATCGGCAGCGCCGAGACGTCTTCACCGCCCCCCGCCAGGGCTCGCAAGGCCACTCGGGGACGTGCGCCACGTTTGTGTTCGTCTCTTTAGCTCTCCTGGAAAATTAAACATGCTGCCTGGTTTCTGCCACCACTCGGGTGGTCGCTGCAATGATGAAATTCAAAGTCGGCCACCCAAAACGGAATGTGTGCTCATCGCGTTAAGCAGCTCATGATCCAATCGGCTGCACGCAGAAGAATAGAATGTGTGGAAGACACATGGTGATGGTTGTGACCGTACCGTCCATGAAGATGGTAATGGTAATTGCGATGTTAACGATGTTAACGGTAGAGAAGATGATGACTTGGCAGTACAGGGCAATAACAGTTTTGCTGATAACGTTGATGGTAGTCGAGTTCAATACCCTTTACTCTTTTGTAAAACCAATCATACCAACGGCCTTAATCACGCATTGGCAGAAAGGTAGTTTCCACCAGTATTTGGTGGAAACCTTTTCCAATTGTTTGTCATTCCACCCAGGATGAAGTGAATATGTTAATCGGCGTAAAGCAAAAGATGCCTGAGCACAGGAAGGATTGTTGCTGTTCATATTTTTGTGATTTACTTTGGTGCACTTTGATATTTTTAGTTTGAAGTTCTGCTTGACGGTGTGGGGATGATCGTCGTGACGAATGTAAATTGTGACAGGAGCAGACGTGGCACAAAGCGGCGATGGACCACTCTTGGAAGTGAGATACGGAATTGTTGCATGCGACAAGTGCAGCCTCTAGAGGCGCTGCATTCACCACAACTTGAAACAAGTATCCATTCTCGAGTCACCACCACCGAGAATTGTCACAATTTAAATCACCACGGGACAAATGTTGCCCACGAGACAATGCGGGCCAAGGGTGTGAATTGTGAACACGGTGACGCCGCGGGTCGCCGCTGTGATGGTTTTGGCACCGCAGCTCCTGCGTTGGCACCAAGTCTGAATGAATCCGCGCCACCCAAGTGTCACCAACAAGAGAAACGAAGTCGTCTAGCGCCACCTAGCCGTGCCGACGCCGCTTTGTGGACGGGATCTCGCTGGCGGCCCCAGATCGAGTGTGTTCCCTGTGTGCCGGAGCTTATCCCGTGTGTGTGTTCTCTGCGTGCAGGAGCTTATCCCGTGTGTGTGTTCTCTGCGTGCGTTCACTCTGTGCAGGAGCCAACTTGCTCGTGGACAGCATGGGCCAGAGGCTGCGGATCGCCGACTTTGGGGCGGCCGCTCGCCTCGCATCCAAGGGCACGGGCGCCGGCGAATTCCAGGGGCAGCTGCTGGGCACCATCGCCTTCATGGCCCCCGAGGTGAGCAGGGGGCGCAGCACCCCCCGCGTCGCGCTCCAGCCGTGAAACTGGCGCGACGATCGGGGGCCCGGGACTCGGCGGCGCGGGGGCGGCCGCTCGCCCGGTCCCTCGTGAAGCGACGGCAACCCGGCCCTGGCAGAGCCACGCGCGACGAGAAAGCGGAACGGAAACGGCGAGGCGCGCGAGGGAAGTCGGCAGTGCCGCTCGGACTCCGCCGTGCACACGGGGAGACGGCCGACATCTTTATCTGGTCCTCCCACATGATTTCTGAGCCGGAAAAAAATCATCGTTTGATGTGGTTTAGATGTGGTCCTGGTCCCACCTCCCATTTGTATCGTGTCAGTCTTAAAAATATAAACAAGAGGGAGTGGTCGTGTCGCGGTTTGCGCGCTACGCTACGAATCCGGTGACCCGAGTTTGATTCCCGGCTCACAGCCAACACCAGTGACGATTATCTGAACCGGTCATGGACCTCCCTTAAGTCGACTCAGCCTTAAATGAGTACTTGGTGCAATGTGTGAATGTCACCACTGGGGAGTCAAAGGCGGCTGGGTGTGGTGCTGGCCACCCACCCCCTCGAGTGCCGTGCCGGTCTTCATCGGTGCTCGCGAACAGCACTTGCCCCTACAGTATGTTAAGGCTACACGGGGGCTATTTGTTTTTGGTGCGTGTGTTTGTTCGTACGCCATCTCCTTGCTGATGGTGTCCATATCTAAACATCAAGTTTTGTTTTTGTGATTAAATTGGTTTTCGGCGTAGCCGGCAGTCGTGGAGTAACGATGCACCGATTCTTAATGTATAGCCATTCTTACGCTCACGATACACGCATCGAATCGTGCAGGTATGTAATCAGTTCACGTGACACCAGCAGACACTAAAGATGATCAGCGGTAGAGCGAGCAGCCCACAGTCGGAAGGTTGCGAGTTGACTCAACCCATCATCGCTCTGGGGACAATAAAATGCATACCACTTTGTGGAGAAATCAATAATGGTTCTCCCATGGAAGGCCTCTCCCCTGCCATAGGAATATGGAACTTCCACCACTGGCTCAAGGCTATAAACAGGTAGAGAACACCACCTCAGTGATCATTGAACAGTGAATCGCTTTGACCTTTAAACCCCCCGCCCCTCACCCACCCCTGTGGTGGGACCATCCATCAAGCTGAGTTGGTATTTGCCCATTAGGCCGCGAGAGCTTTGCGTGGTGCTTGTGTGTGGGTGGGCGTGTTTGCTCTGGGAGCTGCAGAATAACATTTGGTTCTGCCACAGTTATGCTGGACTTCAGTGGGTGTGGTATACTTGATATGTGGTCTGTACTTGGCTTGTTTAACTTTGACTCTGGACCTGAATAGACAGGGGAAGGTGGTGATATTTGTAGAGATATGTGTCCGTGTGTGTGCCCATTAACACTTCAGCTATGGAGTGCCCCATGCAGTGGTGCGCACCGTGACACGTTAGAGACTGTGATACCTGCATTCGCGAACTGAGCGTGGATACAAACGAGTCATCGTAATTATGATTGGTACAGTGCTGTATATTCACCCAATTTAAACGACAGCAATTATTCTTTCGTACCCTGCGTTGCACAGATAAAGCAACTTGTATTTTGGAGCTGTGACGAATGTTCTGGCCGACGTCTGGGTTCCTTAGCCACTTGATGGAACTGACGATGATCTTATCAGTTCCTCTGGTTCTGCCGCCGCCACTGCCGTTCAGCGGTCGGCCGTACGCTCCGTGGCCCACCAGGCAGGGTGGGACCGTCTCTGTAGCTTCCGCTCGGCCGGGCGATGTCCGTACGCGACGATTCACCACGGTGCAGTGTTTATCGGCCACCAAACCCCCGAGAGCAACGGGCACAAATCTACTGGGGCTTGCCACCACTCAGGTAGCCATGACCGTGCATCGCTCGCGTTTGCAATCGTGCTCCGATGGAGACAATGCACGTGTCGAGCTCCCGCCCCGCGCCAGACGAGACGCCGTCCACGAGGTTGACTTTGAAGGGTGGCGAGTTGTGAACTACCTCGCCTGGTATGAAGGAGGTCGTGGGTTCGATTCTCACCCTGACACCTGCTTTATATTTGGAGTTTGCATCTTCTCCCCGTGGTAGTGTGGATTTCGCTCTGGGTCCTCCGTTTTTTTCCTCCATATTTAGAAACGTGCATTTAGAGTATTTGGCTGCTATAAATTTCCATGTGATAAGTCTCTTTATTGAGCTATAGTTTGTGGCCCGGTCGCTTCTGAAAAAGAGCTATATAGCTCAGTGGACCTTACCTGGTAAAATAAAAATTGTTCAGTAATAGTTTAGAATCGGCAAAGTGTGGCCCGACATTTTCATTGAGTGCTCCGTGCTTTTCTCGGCCCGCTGTGCAGGTGCTCCGAGGCCTGCAGTACGGACGGAGCTGCGACATCTGGAGCGTCGGGTGCGTCATAATCGAGATGTCGTGCGCCAAGCCGCCGTGGAATGCAGAAAAACACTCCAACCACCTCGCCCTCATCTTTAAGGTGAGGGGTCGAGGCGCACCTCTGCAAACGGAGTACGCCCAGTCCTTCCACAGAAGCGAGGAGGTCGCCGCGGCCTCTGTGGGCCGTGTAAACACTTGCACTGTTTGCGTTCTCCTTCCTTTAGAAGCCCAGATTAACCGAGGGAGGGGTGCCCGGGGACTCTGTTTGGGCGGTTTAGTGGTGAGCGACCCACGCAATGAACCCGGCAGCCCAAGTTTAATTTACGGCCACAGCCACGGCGACCATTTTCGCTGATTATTATTCAAACCGATCTTGGGCCTTCCCTTGGTCGATTTGGCCTAAAAAGAGTAGCTGGCAAAGTATGGGAACATCAGCACTGCGGAGACAAAGGCAACCGGGCGGCGTTTACTCACCAGTTCCTGTGCCAGACGGCTCAGCGATAGAGAAACCCGCTATCAAAGGCTTGCGAGTTCAAATTCTGGTTGGGGGTTGGTTGACTCCGCCTATCATCCCTCTGGGATCGATGAAACGAGTACCACTTTCTGGGGAAGTCAACAATGGTCTTCCTATGGATGAACTGGCCCCTGCCATAGGAATGTTGAATTTCCACCACCGACTCGGGGCTGTGAATGGGAGGAGATGAGCTCTGAATTCTCGTGCGGTTCTGCCCGTCGTGTTGTCGTGAGGATTTCGCGGCGCGTTATTTGATGCCAGCGTGCCGCGAGCTCAAGGATCGTTTCCGCTGCCGCAGATTGCGAGCACCACGACGGCCCCGACCGTGCCGCCCACGCTGTGCCCGGGCCTGCGGGACGTGGCGCTGCGCTGCCTGGAGCTGCAGCCCTCCGACCGGCCGGTGGCGCGCGACCTCCTCAAGCACCCCGTGTTCCGCGCCTGGTAGCGGAGCGGGAAGGGGGCCGGGAGGCCAACAGCCGATCGCAACAACAGGTGGCATGCGGATTCAGTGGCACGACCGCACAGAGCTACGATCACTCCACGGTACAGCCACTCGGTGGGACGGCTACCCGCTTGTGCAGCCACCCACTGGTGCAGCTAACCAGTTGATGAGCCGCCCTGTGGTTCAATTGTCTGGCAGTTTAGCTACACAGTTGTGAGGTTTCTCAGTGGTACCGTGAGCCAGCTTGGCATGCAGCGCACGCATTAACTAGGCGGGTGACTATCAAATAACCCCATGGACTGACTCATTGAGCAGTCGGTAGAGTAGGTGAGACGACCAGAGAACCAAAGAGCAAGCCGAGCAAGCAGCTGTCGTATCATCTCACCAGCCCGTCAGCCACCAAACAGCAAAGCCACTTGGCAAGCTCGAGGAATCACCAAGCCAACGAGCCACCAGCACGACGACCAAACAGCACTGCAGTCAACGAGGAGAAAAGCGGCGGCGTAAACACGGCGGGCGGTCAGTCGCACCCCACGCGGTGCGCGCTCGCCCACGCCGCTTTGTCGCGCTCGGCGCGCCGTGCGCGGATTCCTCGGGCCTCTTGATCCTGGCCGAAGTGTAATTGTGCAGAGCTGGCGGTGGTGGTCTCTCCGCACTGCGAACGGGGTGCACTGCTCGTCTTCGCTGCTGCACGGTCGCCTGCGCGCGGTGCGGTGAGAGGGGGGGGCGCTCTGTGTTCACCCGGCCCAGCGCGTGGCGGTGGCCACCGTCTGTAGATCACAGTGCTGTCCAATGAAAAGAGCTTCCACAATGAGGTGGGCTGGGGTGGTATTTAAGCAATACTCACGTTGGTTACTTTATTTAGGCAGTGTCTGCCTCTCTCCGTAGGCAGAAAGCGCCACATTGAATGCCACCGTTTAGACCAGCGGTAGGCAGCGACGTCTCGTCTTGTCTCTATGCACGTGCTGTCGCCAGCGCCTGTACGGTTGGGTTGGGGGCGGTGTCGGGAAGCTGCGGCGAGCGGGCCGGTCGGGCTGGTGCTCTGTCCGGATTGTGTGTTCCCCTCCGGGCGACTGGGCTCGCTTGGTCCCAGACGTCCGCTGGTACATCCCCGTGCACGCTGGCAACATGGCCTCCCCGCGACGACATTACGGACGGTCCACAACTTGCAGTTGCCAGGTTCAGTTTTTTTTTATTTGAGACTCCTTGTAAGTCTTTCCTGTGACTGTAAATAGAAAATAAAGACCCCTTGGCAGCTGTTAACATTTTTAATTTAAACTGATGGGTTTTTTTATGTAAGTATTTTACTTATTATTTACTCGGTTCAGGATATGCACGTCCGTAGCTATTTTGAGTCTAGAACTTGCGAAGAGGTAATAACTACTGTGTGACAAATCAGGGGATCTTGCGGTGTTTGTGGCTCATTCTGCAGTCAGGGACAGTCCCTTGGTCGATCTTCTCCAACTCTTCTGACGCTTTGCTCCTTGGCTCCTTCCTGTCACAAATCCGTTTTCTTTCTCTTAGTCTGACCAGGTTGTTTTAAAACAAAAAAGGGATGTAAATGTAATTTATTTTCTTGGTTTTCATTACTTGAATAGTGGGTACATTTTCATGGGGGTTTTTGTTGTTTAGGGTACAGCATATTCTGTACTGAGCGTTGTAGATACTCCGTGCCTGCGCTGTGTGCCGCCTCCTCCGCACGCACCCTTTAGTATATGTTGACGTTTTTTGTGTTGTTGGGGATTAATTGGAAGTTATTGTGCGGAGGAGTTTCCGGGCAGCTGCCCAGCCGCCCGTCCGCCCGCCCGCCCGCCCGCCCGCCCGCCCGCCCGCACGGCGATGCTAAACAAGCAGAGCTCTCGCTGTGGATGAGAAACCGCAAACCGGCAAAAAGGGCCCCACTATCTCAGGACGGCTGCTCCGTGGCAAGCCGCCCAAATGTTTTAGCATTTCAACAACAACAACAACAACTTTATATTTAGTTTGAGCACACTTTTGAAAGGGCTCTCCGGTGACTAGATCAGTTGACTGGACATGTAAATGTGGAACGTTGCTATGCGGCCCACTTTTAAAATGAAACTCAATCCGTTGATTCCATCGCCATCGTCGTGATGTCTGCCGTTGTTACAACTGTCTCAAGTCCTTCTCTGCATAACGTCTTGCCCAGCAGAGGATACCTCCAAGCCGAATACAGAGGCATTTGGTTTCTGAATGCAATCAGGGAAAGAGGTGGTAAACTGGTAGCTGAAGGACATTGAATTAGCTGCAGTGGTTTGTAATAATGCGCCAAACTTTGGCTTCAGCCGTGTGGCACGGGCATTCATAATAATGATTCCTTGTTACCCTTGATACGGAGTAGCACCTGGAGTAGTTGAGCTGATATCGGTTCCCCCGGTGATACCTCTCGCCCTTGAGATTCGTTTCAAAAGGAATCCATGCCAGTGACCACGATGCTAACTTAATTATATTTCAAATTTGTTGTTATATTTTGGAAATCAGTTTCTATTTGTTTTATTTTAGTTCATGTTTGATGTAAACAAAATTCGTTCATAACGCAAAACTAAGCATGTATAAAGCTCAGTTTCATTGTAAGATTCATAAAACATTTCTTGCCGGGTTCTTGTAACTTTTCATTTATTGAAATTGTTCATCGAGTCAATTCACGTCATTTTCAATCAACACTGCCAAGATGCGCCCAGCTGACCTTGAGCGCTGCAACAAATCTCCCTCCTCCATTGCCAGCGCTGCATTGCTGCTATGCTCGCTGGAGCAGCGGTGCTGGTGCTTCGCGTGCGCTCCTGCCCTAGGGCACGGCGCCTTTCGCCAGCGCTCGCAGGCGCTGGCACGGTAACCGCCCTGCCGCACGCTCCGAACCTGCCGCTACCGATGCCGTCCTGCGTCTGTGCTCGTTGCAGGGTGGCCCTGACTCGATGTGCCCGCGCTTTGTGCGTGATGCATCGATGAAGATCCGACGCCCAGCGAGGCTGCAGGATGGTGTTTCACGCTAAAAGTTTGAGAAGGCCCCTTTGCTCTTTGTGATATTTTCTAGGAATGGAATACGAGCCTAAGACTTTCAGCCTAATGTTGTAGCAGATGCGTCAGTTTCCTTATGGAGTTGGACAGAGGACGTAAGTCTGCATTGCTTGTTGATAAACGATGTTGTTGCGTGGCTGTGGGTGCCGGTGTATGCCGTGGGCCCCTCTCCATCATGGTCTCGGTCCGTGACTCCATTACCTTCTCAGGGTCTGGTTCGCTAATTCATCTCCGTGCCCCATACTACCCCAGGTTAAGGTCTTACCATTTCCTCCTGGCAGCAGTGCAGAGGTTTTGCACCGGTTTACAACCAACAGCTGTGGGTGTTAAGTTCAGCTGCCAGATTTACAAAGTAAAAAAAGATGTGAATAACACATTTAAGAAAATGACCCTTTGTAAGCGTTAACTCTCTCCTCTGCTAAAGCACCACTACTCGTGTCTGATATATTCACTGTCCTTAGTCTCTCTGACGCGTGCTCTCGCTGTGCCGCGTGTTGTTGGGCGCGATGAGTTCCGCGTCTGAGAGCTTTACAGCACAACCGCGAAAACCAATGTCGTCAACTTAACCAGAGGAGAACCCAGCGAGGTTATCTGTAGCCAGGGGGAACCTGATTAGCAATAGCTGAGAAGTGACACTGTGATTAATGTTGGGATTTCGATGAAGACACCAGTCTACGATGAGACCCACGTTGTCTAACGATGCCACGGGCTCGTCGATGTCCAACGGTACCGCCCATCGTGCGCTCGAGTAACCTCCCGCAGGCGTCGCCGGGCACCGCACGGAGTCGGTCCGTAGGCCCCGTAGGCCCCGTACACGTGGACTGTCTGGCGAGGGTGATAACCGCCGGGCCTCCGTTGCCACGCGGGCTCCTGTTGGTCAGCAGTGCCACACGGGAGGAGAGCCGTGCGAGAGAGGAGAGCCGTGCGAGAGAGGCGAGCACTTAAACCTCGCAGTTGCTACCGTGTCTTGCACAATCTATCTGGCCCCACTATTCCAACATGGGTATAGCATTAAGATGTACTTTTTTAAGGATTTCAACATTTTTTATTTGATGTTATTGTTATTGGTTAACTTTCTGCACTTAAAAATCGTAATAATTTAACGCACATGTATTTTGAGGTGTAAACCCACCAATGTTGTACCCATACTTTCTGAATGGACATTTTTGGATGCTGGTTGACTTAACTTCACTATTAACAAACAGCTATTCTCTAACAAACATTGTCATTTGAATGAATAATTTGTATAATGTTGAATTGTTTTAATGTTAGGCATGACCATTTCAGACGTTTTACATAAATTATGTTTAACCTTTACAAGGAATGGTCATTTCAGAGATTGGAAATTCACGCCTGTGTACCAAAGATGAATCGATGTACATTCAGCTTCTCATTTACATGGCAGAGTTTGTCGGTGCGCTAATTGAAGCGAGCTCATAGTCAATGAACATATCTTTCCACAATAGAGGTTTTTTGGGTTAGATTGCGTAAATATGAATGTGTCGTTAAACCCGCCACCACCCGACACAGACAATTAGTAAGGTTTGTCACGTAAACAGAACGTGCCAATTCGTTACTAGTGCAGCACACCGCTGTGTTTACATGATAAACCTTACTAATTGTCGTCTGGTGGCGGGTTTAACGACACGTTTATATTTACACGAGCCTACCCCAAAAAAAACCTATTTTGGACATTGGTTGCGAAAACCTACGTGTTAAACGAACATATCTTTGTCAGAAATATTTCCGTAAGATCTGACAAGTATATTTACCAGCATGTATTAGGTTTCACCTTACACACATTGCATTTTATTAGAAAATGTAAATGTATTCAGCTTAAAAAGAAATTTCAGGGACTTAAAAAATTATTTCGCAACATTGGTGTTAATACCGTTTCAATATTTGCTAACTTGCTTTTATCATTTTCAACTGGTTATTTTCATTTTATTTCATCGTAAGGGAAAATACTACTGTTTTGCTTATTAAGACAATTGTTACCTTTTTAACGAAGCTTAATGTTTTAAGCTTAAGCTTTCGACTTGTTAATGTTGGACGTTGGATAATTTATAAAGCGTGTGCTACTATGCAGTTGGAGACACTGGAATCACACGTCGTCGTCGTCGTTGTTGTTCGGCAAACCACTATTGGAACTTCTCGGTGCTCCTCCAGACCACGGTGGGCACACCGCCCACATCACTGCCCGCAGCCGACACTGAGCCATTCGAAAAAGCGACAAACACGCGGCAGCCACGCACCGCGCCGTGCGCTGCCGTGATCACGATGGGTTTTGTTTGTTTCTCACCCCCCCCCCCCCCCCATCGGTGTTTTGAATCCTCGTCTGTAAATGGAACTTGACTGCCCTGTGGGGCCGTGCTTGTGGGCAACGGAGAGCGCGGCGCGAGGCGCAGCTCCCGGTGGCCTGCGCTGAGACACTGCGGGGTCCCCTGTGCTGAGACACCGCGGGGTCCCCTACGCTGATACACCGTGGGGTCCCCTGTGCTGAGACACCACGGGGTCCCCTGTGCTGAGACACCACGGGGTCCCCTGTGCTGAGACACCACGGGGTCCCCTGTGCTGAGACACCACGGGGTCTCCTGCGCTGAGACACCACGGGGTCCCCTGCGCTGAGACACCACGGGGTCTCCTGTGCTGAGACACCACGGGGTCTCCTGTGCTGAGACACCACGGGGTCTCCTGTGCTGAGACACCACGGGGTCCCCTGTGCTGAGACACCACGGGGTCCCCTGTGCTGAGACACCACGGGGTCCCCTGTGCTGAGACACCACGGGGTCCCCTGTGCTGAGACACCACGGGGTCTCCTGTGCTGAGACACCGCGGGGTCTCCTGTGCTGAGACACCACGGGGTCTCCTGTGCTGAGACACCGCGGGGTCTCCTGTGCTGAGACACCGCGGGGTCTCCTGTGCTGAGACACCGCGGGGTCTCCTGTGCTGAGACACCACGGGGTCTCCTGTGCTGAGACACCACGGGGTCTCCTGCGCTGAGACACCACGGGGTCTCCTGCGCTGAGACACCACGGGGTCTCCTGTGCTGAGACACCACGGGGTCTCCTGTGCTGAGACACCACGGGGTCTCCTGCGCTGAGACACCACGGGGTCTCCTGCGCTGAGACACCACGGGGTCTCCTGTGCTGAGACACCACGGGGTCCCCTGTGCTGAGACACCACGGGGTCCCCTGTGCTGAGACACCACGGGGTCCCCTGTGCTGAGACACCACGGGGTCTCCTGCGCTGAGACACCACGGGGTCCCCTGTGCTGAGACACCACGGGGTCTCCTGTGCTGAGACACCACGGGGTCTCCTGTGCTGAGACACCACGGGGTCTCCTGTGCTGAGACACCACGGGGTCTCCTGCGCTGAGACACCACGGGGTCTCCTGCGCTGAGACACCACGGGGTCCCCTGTGCTGAGACACCACGGGGTCTCCTGCGCTGAGACACCACGGGGTCCCCTGTGCTGAGACACCACGGGGTCTCCTGTGCTGAGACACCGCGGGGTCTCCTGCGCTGAGACACCACGGGGTCTCCTGTGCTGAGACACCACGGGGTCTCCTGTGCTGAGACACCACGGGGTCCCCTGTGCTGAGACGTCTTTAAAGGGAGCTGCGATTCACTCGAGAGCCGGAACCCCGTGCTCTTCTCTTGCTCGATATTTGCCTGAACAATCAAGATTATTGCGTGAAACTAAACAAGAAAAGAAAACGATCTAGAGACAAAATGCTGAACGAATACATTCAGCATAGCTGTTATTTCTTTCTTTGTAAAAAAAAAAAGTCACGAGAAATAAAAACGTGAGTCGCAAATTGCCGTTTGCGTTGAACGATGTCGGAGGCGCGATTGATGTATTTGACTTTTTGTGTTTTTTGTTCATGGAGTTTAGACGCAGTGCAGGCGAGAGCTGAACAACGGTGTCCGTTCAGCGTTGCATGTCGTAAATAAGAAGGCTTTAATTCACATTCGCTTTAAAACACGTTTTTTATTTAACTCGAGGGAACCTTTCAAAAGAAATTGAAGAGCAAATTTCCAAGCTTTTCAACTCCACGATCAGAGATACGAGGACACGCGCAGCGTTGCACTTTAAGAGCGTATGGCCGTGATGTCACTGTACATAACACAGCTATTATTCTAGGGCTATATTGTGACATATTCGGTTGTCCACTTTGGAGATAGAGGTTATTGTCAGTTTTGTTAGACTTTTCTTAGTTTTTTGTACAAATTACGTTGGTAAATAATTGTATATATTTCGTACGTGATAAAAAAAAATAAACAGCAGTGTTCTCAATGCACCATCGCATTTGCCAAACCAAATTAAGTTCACAACCGATAATGGACGATTATTTCTCTGATAGCTTATTACGAATGCTTTAAACGGAATGGATTTTTTGGGAAACAATTTTCCGTTAACGTATATATATTTTTGAGATTTGTTATTTCAAACACTGGAGTTGTGAGTTTTGGAGATTTGCTCATCATTGGTGGGAATGGTTTGTTGATGTTTTTAAGGAACGCCATTTAGACTTTTGTATGACAAGAAAGTTGTTCCCTGTGGGAAAGAAGAGGGCCTGGTCTCCTCAGTCGCTGAAACATTTCATTGGGAAAACAAAGATTGATGGGAATACGTGCGAGCACTTTGATCAGCAATTTGTTTTGTATTAATGTATAATCCATACGCGGATTATGGGGAGAATAATGACCCAGATTTTTGTAATTGCGTTCACACTTAATTCATCCTCAGTCTGCATCAATGCAACACATCGCTACTCGTTGTGCAACACGTGGCGATGTTGAATAAAAAAAACCCATTATATTTGAATTGCAGTGAATGTATATTCTTGGGTCTTTCGGTAAAGTCACGTAGATGGTTCAAAGAAAATAACAAAAAACTACGACGTTTCGATCACGACACAAGCGATCGCCATCGCTTGTGTTGTGATCGAAAGACGCAAGAATATGAATGCCTGCAGTCACGAAAGCTTTAAGTGAACATTTATAGTGAATGTGTAGAATTTTCCCCGTGCCATACAGGCGTTCTAACGCCCTGCGTGTCACCAGTCCGAGCTGGGGCACCTGGAATGGTAAAACCACAACCCCGCTTGCTTCTCCACTGACCTAATCACCAATGGGGCGAGCAATTGGGGTGTGCTTTATGAAAGTATTCAGAATGCAGAGTTTTCTCTTTGTTAAGTGTAAACATAGTTCAATACTGTAAATGCTGTTACATTGTGAGGTTGTTATGATGTCGCCCGCGGCTCGTCTGTTCGCGTCGATGTACAGTAGTCGTGAGGAGTCTGTCGGCTGTGATGAACTCCTTTCGTCCTCCTCCTCTTCCTCGTCGCCGCTTCTGCTCCCAGTTGGAATCCGACTACCTCAGTGCCTTCTCTGCTCCCGTCTCTGCCAAAGTTGCCCCCTTTTGATGTCGACGCTTGCAACGTTTATTTCCTTGACTTCCTCGTCACGTTTCCGAGAGAGACTTTAATTTTATTGCTTTTGGGGTTTCTAAGGGCTAACTTCTCTTAGCACCTTGTATTGAATACACCGCGGACACACACGTAAGTAAAATCAAACCATTCGTTTTGAACATGTTGATTGTATACTCTTAAATTGAGTGTTTCTGAACTGTTTTAAAATAAAGTTTGTTGCAAATGAACACAAAGGATGAATGTTTTACTTGCCGAGTGACTGAAATGCACGACGCGTGGTGAGGTCCGTCTGTGTGTGGCCAAGATGTGACGCAACGTTATTTGCTCTCACTGCCACGGACGTGATGAAAGTGGCTTTGAATCCAGAATTACCGCCGTTGTTTTAAGACCGCATTTGATTTCGCCTTAGGTAAAGGTGCGAGTTCCAATTCCAGTCGGGGTTCATCGCTCTCATTGTTTTCTGAATCATTTAAATAAACACGATGCTTCGTGCAAAGTCAACGGCTAGCACGTCTCGTGGAGAGACCTGAAACGGCCATATGAATGTAGAATTTCCACCACAGATGCGGGATGGCGAACGAGTCTATCCACGGCGCCCATTGAGTGTGGAGATGGCTCTGTCCGTGAAGGGAGCGACATTCCTGTTCTGCAGGAAATGTCGCTGGCGGTCTCGTGCCACAGCAAGCAGAGCCACCACATTCATCAGCGCGGGTTGGTGCCAATTTGGGGAATTTGACCAATTAGCATTCTCATTACAAAACACATCTATTAAATTACCGACAAACCTCTCTCGCTGGGCCTCAAGATTTCCGTGAGGGTTGTGTTGGTGGTAAGGGATGCCAACAGACTCTGGTGCGCGTGCAGGAGAAGAAGGGGGTTTTGCGAAAGTGTTTGGGCAACCCGAGAGCGGCTTCCGATACTGCAGTCCGCGCGATCCAACACCACCACCACCTCCACCACCACCGCCACCACCACCGCGCTCAGTCTTTCCGCGTTCACCAATGTACTCCTCCACAATCACATTAACTCGTGCCACGCTGCACGCGCCCCATGATTGTTCAACACGTGAGGCGCTCGGCAATTAACGCTGTCTGCACCAACACGTGAACACATGTGGGGGTCGCTAGCCCCCGAAATCCCTCCCTCGATAATGCTAACGGCCGGGCTAGCATCATCAATCGCCCCCCCGCTGCTAAGCGAACCGCTGCTAAGTTCCTCACCCATGGTGTGGGAGCCGTCGCCCGAGGGTTCCACTCCACCGCGGGTCCGCGTAGCAGGCATGGTTAATTACGTACGCGCACACCCACACACACAGCTCTGTACGGCACTCACTCTTGCGCTTCTCTGCGCCGCGCTGGCCGCTCACGTTACAATCGCGCACCTGGGGTACGCCGATTACGCACGCCGCGAGCTTACGCACACACAGTACCACACGCGTCCCCACACGCAACCCGCGCGCTCAGCTCCGCGCAGCGCTCACTCACGTGGCGAACCACTGTGCACACAGCGCCCCCACACGCTCACACTGCACGACAAGATCACGCGAGACCACGCTTCGCTATTAATGATTTATTATATGCCACCTGCGAATTGATGTTGAATCAGTGAGTCGACGAGGCTGGCCTATTCCACTAAACCTGTACCTATTCCCTATTTATCGGCTATGATTCTAATTCCCCTTCTTACTCACTGTTAAGTGTCCACGGCGGTCCGCTGATCCTTGTGTTAACCGCGTGCCTCGGTGCGTCGCACGGACGTTCGGGTCGCTGGCTCGAGCTGCGTCTGGTCGCCTGGCGCTGGAGTAAGAGAGCGATTTCCCCTCTGCGCTCCTCTATTTATCCTCCCTACCTCCAAAGGGGATGCTGCGCTGAACAATGGGCTCGTGCACCCCAAGCCCGCGCACGGCAGTCCCCAGGCGCTGTTGATATGCTAATCAGTGTGCTGCGTGCAAGGCGTAAATCCTAATTACTCCCTTACCCTTCCTAACAATGGGGCTTGCGCGCTCAAGCGCAATTATCCCAACCCTCCATGACTATGCGCAACAGCCCCTGTGACCCCGCTATTCATGCTGTCCCGTGCCTCCCCTGCTTGCCCCGTCGACTCGTGGGGGTGTGTGTGGGGGGAAATGCGCCTCAACCGCGGTGGCCGAATGCCCCACACCGCGACCATACCATATTAAGGCCGGCAGCAGCGCCGCGGTACCACGTAGCACGGGGGAGGTCATCCAATTCCCTGATCGCCGGAAACCGTGAGAATTAATCCCGATAAGGGTCTCTCGGATAAAAACCGGTCGATCGGGTAACCTTCCCTTCCAGCTCTATGGGGGGGGGGGGGGGGGGGGATGCGTGCGGGTGTGTGCTTATGTGGGGCGGGTGATTGGGGGCAGTGCGGTGGGGGAAGCCGGGCGGCTCCCTGGCTCGGCAGAGCGGCCCCGTCGCTGTGGCACCACATAGCCCCCCGGGGTGCCAGTCCCCGTCCCGGGTTGACTTGAGCACCTCGCCTGGGTT